TCGAGAGCAAGTATGCGAAAGATATTTTCTACATATTATCGTTGTGTTGAAACCAATTGAGATTTCTTTCTTCTAAGATGGTTTACAAGTAGACGTTACATCCAATGTATGTTTTTGACCCATTATAATTTTGGTGTCGCTCGCAATATTACCAATGGGCTATAGAAATAAATACAGGAGGAAATGGTCTGTAAGAAAAGCGACAGATCCATGTTGCCGACTGCAAAATAATCCGTAGGTCTACAGACCAGGTCTACACGTATACCTGGTCTGCGATGACAGTCAGTTTTGGCCAGAAAGTCTATAAGGTGTATGGTCTACTCGTATACCTCATTTATGGTAAATTAATATTTGAAAATATTTTTCGATCGTACACAATCGAGGCGCTACCTAGCGTCGAAGACATCTTCATTTCTCGATAAAGTTGGACGTTCTGCCGTAGATGACGGTGTGATCGTTCGTATAGCAGTGCATTCTTTTATTACAGTACTCTTTTTTTATATCTCAAGTTAGTTTACACACAAAGAAAAGTAACACTGAACTAATGCGAATTTAAAATATAAATAACTTTTTTACCGAGTTTCATAGTAAATGGTGGTCCCTAAAATGTTTCTTAATTACGTAGGTAAAGTCTTATAAGGAGAGATAACATTTGTTTAATTTTATTGGTCATATTTGTTATATATAATTTCGTTTTGTTCGTAAATCTAGAGATTTGTTCATAAAATCAATAATCATAGTATATTGTACAATGTTACAATATTAGAATGTAATAATAATGATGGTATATAGAAATATACTATACCAAATTAATAACGAATGATAAATAAAGTTCATGAAAAGTGTAACGAAGAACTTGTTTCAGTTTTGGAAAATATAATGTATGGTTCCACGCAAGCAAGTTCACAATAGTTTAAATGTATTTAGACAATTGACCTAGATTAAGAAACAAGAAATATTTTAAGAAATGTGAAAAAAGAAACCGTTAAAAAGTATATAATTCAAATTATATTAATTGTATGGTCTAGAAATTGAACTTGATTGCAATCGAGGCATTGAATGGAGAAAAATTATTTATTACCATAATTTATTTTCCATAAATCTATACATATAGATTGACTCTGAATTGATTTAAATATGTTATGTATAAATACATTGGTTGCACTGGTCTTAAATATGGAAAGCAGGTCTTGAATACTGAATTCGCAAGGAAACAAGTTAATTTAGAGGAAAGAAAATTCACTCTTAAATCAACTTGTAAAGAATCGAGGAAACTAAAACGTTTTACAGGACAAAGTTATACATCTTACTCAAGAAAGAAGATAAAACACATTTTTTTTGTTACAAAGTGCTGAAAAGAGGAGCTTCCAATGCCTCGATTGTAAATTTAATATATTCTAATGAATTCGTCACAATTCTGCATGTAGACACGCTTAGTAATATCACGAAACTTATTAAATTCTAATTTATGTTGTAATGTATGTTATTCTTTTATATACTTAATATTATGTATTCTTCCATAATTACTACATCGTATTTCGTTACTTAAAATTCTATTCACGCTGATCTCATCTACTAATTAACATATTTTACAGATGTAATACTTACATCACGCAGTGGGGTAATTAGGGTTGTAGGTAATGCATATTAATAGGAAAAGGAAACTAAAGTATAATTCGAACTTCCCTCCGCACGTTGTTTCTCACTTCGTCGTTATTTAGTTGTTTGATTCGGCCAGTCGCGGCGCTGCATGGGGTTTCACTGAATCTCGTGCACGGCTATCCCTGGAGTTTATCAAAGTGTACGATGTCGAATAAACGCAACAAGCAGCGCGTCTACTTGACACTGCAACAACGGTACGACATTTTGCTGCGATTAGAGAATGGTGTTTCGATGATTCAACTGGCGAATGACTACAACGTGAACAGCATGACCATCCGTCGCATCAGGGCGAACGCGGTCCTGATACGACAACAATCGCAGTTAATGGGAATTAAAAATCAGAAAAAGTTTCGGTTACCCGTACTGCATCAGTTGGACATGCGTCTGTACTCGTGGTATTTACATCGACAGACGTTAGGCGATCATGTTACCGACACGATGTTGCGCGCAAAAGCAAAAGAACTGAACGAAGAGTTCGGCGGTCCGTCGTCGTTTACAGCAGCCAGAGGTTGGATATGGAGGTTCAAACGACGACATGGCATCCACCCCCCCAAGTATCACGACGAGTGTGCATACACCAACAGGAGGACGAACGAAGATATTTCCTGGCTGTCTGTACAGCAACTGGGAGAGAAAGATATAGAGCTGCAGAACTTTCACAACATGGAAGAAATGGGACTAACGTGGAAGATCGTTCCACGAAGGACTGTAATTCACGGGGGAGGAAGAAACACCAGCAAATACAATATAACGAAGGATCGAACGGACTCGATCGAGACGCAAGAATTTTCGACGCTTCCCACCCACGAATACGAGAGGTCGAATCACTGCCGGACTCGTTTACCGGTTATTTTCAAGGCCCGAAGAAATATCTGGACCAACCGGAACGAGTTTGCCAATTGGTTTAAGAATTACTTCGGACCAACCGTAAGGAGACAGCAGTTTCAAAGGGGCGCCGGAGGAAAGGTGTTCCTCTTGATAGAAAACTGTAAAATTCATACACTACCTCCGCAATTGCGAAGACTGGACGGCAACATCGAACTCGTATACTTTTCGTCGGGTATGCAGCTAAGGGGTCAAGGAGTGGTAGAGAAAATGAGAAGATCCTTCGCCCGTTGTATGCTGCAGAAGATGCTGAAGTATCCCGATGGTGTGGTCGAATTTTATGCAAACTATTACATCAAAGATTGCGTCAGTTTGATCAACGAAATTTGGATAGACACGATACAGATGAGTATCTGTAAGACGTGGAGCAAACTACTGGCAGGTCAAGCAAGGAAAGAACGGGAACAGCAAGAAAACCAAAGAGAACCATTTTGCGGCACGCCGGTCTTTATCAACGTGAAGAGTGATCCTCAAGATCAGTTAGATGTATGTGAAATGTTAGACGTTAGCGAAATTAAAGCGGAGGCTGTTCCTCGAGATCGGAGAAAAAAATGGGAAACACCAGTTACCGAGATTACGAATCCAGTGAGAACGATCAAAGTGGAAAGTGTCCATCGGTATCGGACGGTAGAATACGACACGACAGAAATTGCAAACCCGGCGAGAACAATTAAAGTGGAACCTGTTCCTCGAAACGAGATAGAAGAATGTGTCGTATCGGGCATTACCGAGATTACAAATCCGGCGAGAACAATCAAAGTGGAACCTGTTTCTCAAGACGAGATAGGAGAACGCGACGTATCGGACATTATGGAAATTTCAAACGCAGCGAGACCAATCAAAGCGGAAGTTGTTCCTTATAGCGAGATAAAAGAATGTGACGCGTCGGACAATACTGAAATTATAGAGAAAATAGAGATTATCAAAGTGGAGGCTGGTCCTCGAAATCGGGTAGAAAAACGGCTCGCCAGGGGCAACGAAGCGGACGATTGTGTTATAGATATAGAGTTCAGTGATCTCAAAACCACCGATAAATCGTACACTGAACCAGACCTGGACGAAAACGAAACGAAAAAAATGTTTTCAACCTTGGCGCTATGGTCGCAAGATCAACCGAGTTTCATACAGTTGCAAGTGCAGGCAATACAGACATTTTACCACAATTCACGAAGATAATGTAATCATAAGATACTAAAAAAAATAATAAAGCTTTTATTTGCATTCGTTTTTATCTTGGTCCGCACTATTTACAGATACTGCTGGTCGATTATCGTTTCTCTCGTGAAAACAGAATGCATTTATTTAACAGTTGTAAAAAGAGAGACATCGATTTTTTAATCATGAATGCTCGTTTGATGAAAAAAGATTTTCAACAAAAATTTGTTGACATTGAGTGCACGATAGATGATAATAATACTAATTTTTGGAATTAAAGTATCGTGTATGTTTACCGTTGCTTGGAATAGAATCGGTATACTAAATATCGTAGAGATTACGAATCGTTTTTGTTTAATATGTAAATTATAATCAAAACTATATTGTGTTTGATCTTACTTTGATCGGGGAGAAGCCACGAGTATGACATTGAAATTCCTGTTGAAAAATTTTATTGTTGAACTACAATAAATCGTATCAACACACCTCTCTGCTCTCTGCCGACTACATACTATGAACGCTCGTCCTTTCTCTTTCTTTTTCTTCACTATCCTTTTCTATATTCGACGTTGCTACCAGCGGGGATAAACAACCACGTCAGGTACAGTAACGTCTCTTAATATGTAAAAGTCACGGGGGTTCAACCGTTCCATATACAGAATACCTGACAAATCCTATACAAAAGGCTGTCTCATCTACATCGAAAACTTTTTGAGGAAAATATCCTTTCTTTTAGTTGGACAAAGCTGCTTCGACTATCTTTTTCCTTTAAACTGTTATAAATTAACTTTGCATTGCTCCAAATCGTGTTCCAATTTTCTCCCTAGCCCCAAAGTGATATGAAAAGTAAATTTTCAATGCGCGATAAAAATGTATTTCTGCGTTTTTAAAGACTTCCAGTATCATTAGTGATATGTACTTCGTTTAGCAGCCATAACGTTACGTATCGAGATTTACGACACCGTAAATCACAATATTCTTACCGTCAAAAAACTGCCGAAACATTTGCGGTATTATTGTCAGGCATATTTATGTAAAAAATGAGAAATTTTCAAACATTGCAAAATTAAAAAATCTTTTTGACATTTTTGAAAAACCAACCGATAGTACAACAAATCATATTTTTGATCGTTCGGATCGGTTTTCATGTTTTATAGAAAAAAATAAGTCGAATCCGTAGACGTACGATTTTAAGTGGCATTCGCTGTACATGTTCGATGTGCTAAGAAATTATAAATTCAAGTGTTCGAATACTTTTGTTAGCCACTGTATGTATTTACGCAACAGTTAGTGCGTGTTTGCGATGGGGCGACGAGTTTCTTAGTGGTTCGGGCCACTTACTTTTTTTTTAGTTTTTCTATATTTTTACAGCGGTTTTAACTGCATTTATATAAACTCGAAAGCATCACGGACTACGATTTTACAATTAAAATAATGAGTTTAATCGTGATGTTCAATCTCCGTGGATTGACTCCGTTTATATGGATCGTATCTGTCTTAACCTTATCTATAAGTGATGAAGTTAAAACAGATGGTATTGCATCCTTAACATCTGTATCAAATGCTACCTTCGCAAACGCATCCTTGGAGGATGATCACCGAACTTTATCTTCTGCGATTCAACCTACTTCCGAAACCATTTACTCGACAAAAATTTCGAACGTACGTAAGAATGTTTTACGCTTCCAATTAACGCGCATTTTTAAATAATTAGCGTGGAACTTAGGTTCGACTGGTCGAATCTAGTCAATATCGAAAAATGATTATTTTCAATTGTTTTCTATGTAATTTCGTGTGTCGAATTAAAAAAACGAAGAAGACTTTCACCGACGATGAAGTTCAGCCGCTTAGTTTACTCGTTTAACTTTTAATTTTTAACTGCAAAATTCCAGTTAAAATTTTAAATAACTCAAATAACTCTTAAGTTCTTTCCAGAATATTATAGACGTTCGCAAAAGAGTTTGCATAATTATTTTTGTGTCTATATTTCGTGCTTCGATTAGAAATTCCAAATAAATCCGAAGTTAAAATTTGCCTGACTGTAATTTCAGGAAAACGTTACACCTTCGTTCGCGGGAGAAGGTGGTCCAATTCTGATCGCTTCTACCACTCAGCGAGCATCTTCTACTACTTTCCAATCAGCAAGTATTTCTGACACTCTAAACGTAGGAAATAATTTATCGAACGAAAAAGATTATTCTCCAAATGTAACGAGGAAGAATAGTACATTATCTAAAATTGTGCCAAGAAAAGGAGCGAATGAAATGTTACATGGAAAGAAGGAACAATCTTCTTTCATTGAAACACAGCTACCTAATGATGGAGAAGTAGTTAAATATAATGTAACAGGAAATACCATTAAAATGAATAATACGATGTTAAACGTTACTAATGAACGTTTGAAGAATGTTACGCATACTACTGTAAATGGTACATTGCAACAAAATACAAATACGTCGCAACAAAATACAAGTACATTGCAACAAAATGTATCGGCAAGTACCGTTAGTACTATAATATCTTTGCTTAAAGAACATAAAGCAAAACCAACTGTCACGGTAGCAGGACCTAATGGTGATAAACGACCATTTGTATCACCCACAAGATCACGCTTGGGAATGCCAAAAAAAATTGATTATCTTTTGCCAGTTATTATTACTCTTCTAGCTTTACCAATATTGGGTGCTGTTATGTTCATGGTATATAAACAAGGTAGAGATTGTTGGGATAAAAGACACTATAGAAGGATGGATTTTCTTATCGACGGAATGTACAATGACTAATATTTACAAGTATGCTATTCAGGAACATGAATTACTAGAATATCATCTGCCCAATATATATGTATATATATATATACATACATACACTTGATAAACTATTTTGCTACTTTAGCATCGATCAATATACCATATAGAACTATAAAACTTTTATTGTGCCGTAACTTGCTCTGCATACAATATTCTTATTATGCTACTGCCTTATAATGAGATTTGTTATTTATATGTTTTATATAATCGTTTGTATATGGAAATTACCATTCGTACGTAATTTGAAAGCTCGCATACTCATGGTTTTAGATAAGTAGTATACGAGAAAGACAATATGGAAATAGTAACAAACCAAATGACACAGCAATAATATAAAATTATTCAACGAACGCTATTAAAGAACTTCAAAAAAAGTATTAATGCTAAGATTTGAATAAACATTATGAAATGCTCATTGAAACAAATAAAATTCCATTTGTAGATAGGTATATACGTGTAAGCCAAATTAAAAATTTGTTTTCTTATTTATAGAATTTTACGCGAAAATAATTTATTGGCCATTTGTTTCAGCTCGGTTTGATGTTAAAAATTTTCAAGTTTAAAATCTTCGTTAAATCGAACTGGCCGTTCTTAGGCTGTTTTTAAAAAAAATTTGTTATTAGTAATATTATTATAGGATTTTTTCACTAAAATTTAATTTGATTATTCAAATTTTGTAAAATGTACATCGTGTTATTTTACAAATTGTAAAGTAGTATGTATTCCACCAAAGAAACATTTGATTTACATCATACAATTGTTGTAATTACTTGTAATAATTATTTTATATAACTGCATTTATAGTATTGTTATTCAAAGGTTTGTCCAGGTAAATTAATAATAATTGCCATACGAAAATTAAATGGATATCGAACAATGCCCACAGAATTATTATATTGTTGCAAATATAAGCAATGTTTTTGTGCAATTAGAAGAATTAGGAAATTCTATGCCGAACTTCCTTTTTCGTTTAATATGTGTAAAGTTTCTATTTTGTCAAAATGTGATAAAGCAATAACAGCTATTTTTATATATGTATGTAAGAAACCATTCATATTGTTATAAAATATATATACGTATAATTGAAGTCGTTCAATTACTTCCGATATTAAATAATATTCCTTATACAGAAAGAAACTTCGCCACGTTTGATTTGTAAATTTTATTAATAAGCTTCTTACGTAGGTACATAAAATCAGTAGTATTAGCATGTCATATAAATTACAAATTTTTAATAACCGATAAATAATAGGGCATTTGCCTTTACTAGATTAAAGAAATCTCGTTTTTTTTATATAAAAAGAAAGGGAAATTAAGGAAAATTCAATTTCGTGATTTCATCTACGTGCTCTTGTATGCCTGTATAAATTTAATTTCAGGAAAATATGATTACCAATGTTAATATACCTAGAGATTTCAAGTAATTTAACTTAATTTACTTTGGAAATTGAAAATTTTCAAGTGCAGAACCATCGATGATTTATAACAATCTAGAGTAATTGTTTCTTTGCTACAACGCTACAATCATAACTCCGTCTTAGACTAAATTTGTATTAAGTCATTGATTTTATTATAGAACTGAATATAAAAATAGTAATTGTCATAAATAGTTTCATCTTAATGTCATGATTTCAATACAAACATAATTTGTCAACTAGACGCCTCCAGAATATTGCTATACATATTATGAATATAGTAAGATAACACCCAGATGAAATATTCGATATAATTCTAGAGTTTTCAACAGTGTATTTTGTCATAAAAAAGATATTCTAATAATCTAAAATTCGCCTTTTAAAGTTATGGTAAAACTCTTATAATATTCAAAGGATCGTTTTTTGTAATTTCCAATAAGAAAAGAATACGTAATATATTCTATTACAACTTTAGAATGACTGTCCTTATACTCTGAGAATGCCGGTTAAAAATACTCTTATATAATCACATTCAATACGTTGTTGTACAAAAGGTATCATACGAACAACGGTCATGTGCTTAATAATAATCTTATAATATATAATAAATAATATAAATTCATATTAACGGAAACTGCACACGAAATTAAAGTAATTAAAAAAATATGCAGTTTTTACATAGGAAAAGTGTACTCGACCGACGAGTCGGGTAACCATACGAAAAATATCAGCCTTGAATGTATTTTGCCGTTATATTTACTTGGTTAACCGCCCTCGATCAAGAATAATAAAAGGCTCGTACTGAACTTTCATATTTATTAGTGTTCGTTAAAATTTCTTATTTTTTTTTTTTTATTTAGACTTATACTTTACTTCGTCCGGAAAAGCTTCTCTCGGCGGTACCAGACTAAGCATTATTACATGACGTTGATAAACTCTAGAATTACGAAATTGCGTATCTGTTCCGTGGACTCGGTCTAACACTCCCAGAATCCCGAAGCATTGATTAAACCTGAAATAACAATAATTTGTACGATCGACATTTATCTTTGAAATATTAAATAGAATTATACATTTATAAACATTCCCTCGAGATACGCTTTTGTAGGATAAAAACAACAATGCGGTGAATTTTATTTAAAAAAAAAAAAAATTATCTTATAACACGATGCCTGAAACAAGGAACAGGAATATAGAAATAATTCAATTTTCTAACTTGTTGGTCCGAAACTATTTTCAGTTCAAGGGAACGAAACGTTTTCAAAGCCATTGGAGAAATATACTTACTTTAAATGATGGAAATCATGAGCTTCTGGAGATGGAAAGAATGGTAAATGGTAACCGGAGTGAGCATTCAACGTGGAGAGAATAGCAAGCGAGAACCAAAGCCAAGCGGTAGCCACGTGAGAACCTACGATGAATACTCCCAAAAACGGTGGTAATAGGTTCGAGCCAATATGTTCTAAAGGATGGCAATATAACGACGTTACAGCTATAGGTGCTGTCCATTCGTGATGCTGTTTATGTATATACTTATATAGATAGCGGCTATGCAAACATCTGTAAGACAATTTTTATTATTACTCAAGTTTTCTTGCAACAACAAAGGGTGAAATGTATAAGACATCGTTCAAGATAATCGAAGGATCAACTATTCAAATTACTCTACGACTCTAGGTCTGCAAAGTACCTAACGTGTACTTTAAAAATGTTACTACGTCGAGTACACAATATTTGTTCGATTCTTCTGAATTATTTTAAGCAATATACAAAATGATCTTGCTTTAATTTGTTTTAAATTGAACGTCGAGGATAAGTCCAAGTTCGATCGGGTGAATGAATATAGGAGAAGAATTTAAAGAAAAAAATTGTATCAAATCCATAATCAAAGGTGACGGAAGTCTAATTCTTGTCTAAAGTGCAATGAGCGTTGATGAATTGCATCGAGCGAATCGTGGTCTGTTTTAAATACTGTAATAGTCAAAGACGTGCTACTCCTATCTGCTGGCGATGAAATTCCACACGATTGGATTTACCGAGCTGACAACAATTTCGTTAATATAACGAAGTGGTTTAAAACTTATCGAAATGTAATAAATTGAATTTTTCAAGTACAAGTATATGGCTGTATATGAGACTAAAGGTCTTTAATTATTGGATAACTATTAACTAGAGCCAATCCAGCAAATATGATAATATTTTGGTATTTGACGATCTAAAATTCTTAAAAATCGGTTATGAAACCTCGTGCCGGTAAATCACTGTTACCCAGTGAATAATAAACAAATTGTTCTTTCGATATGCTAAAAATAAAAATAGGAAATTTGCATTACTGTACGGGGATGCCCTTACGCTTTAACAACATGAAAAATTCACGTACCTGTGCGAGTAATAAAATCCAATTTCCTCGCATAATATGAGAATTGCGATTTCAACGAGTACCCAGTGGAAGGTCGGCAATTCGCGCATAGGGGGGTAACCGCGCCATTCCATAAAGCAATAACTAGCGTACGCTAGAGGAATCCCGACAACGATCTGATTGAACAGTACTTGAGCGATCACTTTGCACAATTCCTTCCTGTTTACGGGCTCGTTTGTCCCCGGTTGTATTTTGTATTTCCTCAAAGCAGCCGGCCGATTAGTGATGTCTAAAAGTGTATAAATACCGCCGAAAAACCAATAAACGAAAAATGTTAACCCCAACGATCCTGAAAAAAAATCGATAAAAAAATTTTTATACTCGACATTTTTAGGAAAACGTAGGACGGTGCTTCCCAATCATTTTCACGTCACGACGCACACGTGTTACGTTAACTGTACTAAAAAATCTTTGGGTTTGCAATGTTCAAATATAAAATGTTATTTGGCTTTTTTATCTTTTGGAAACTCTTTTGTGACGAGGGTGTGAATCACACCTGTTGGGCAGCACCGATACAGGGTGTCCCGAGACGAATAGTTGAACTAGCGCTCGAACGATTAATTTTATAAAATAATAACCGGGGAAACATTTTTTTCCACCTTTCGCTTAAAATCTAACGAAATAGGAAATATTTTTGTCTCGATTGTAAATTCCTTGTGTTCAAAGTTATCCAAAGATCATGGTATACACCTTGAAGGCAGCTGCACAGATACGTAAGTACGTTTCGATGGCGTACGGTGAACGTAATTGCGGTCAGCCCGTTCACACGATACAGCTTCGTGACCGATTTGACCGTTTTACACAGAAACGGTAACAGCTGAAAGCAACGTTCACACCTTTCCGCATTGTTGTGACACGTTGGGCTCTCAAGCCTATGAATCAAACTCAACATAAGCTACAAAAAGTTCACTAACGATCCTACGAGAAATAGACTCGTGCAACAAAGTTTGAAACTTATTAAAAGACATTAAAGTATACCAATTGCTCTAAATATGATCAGTTCCACTAGGTAACCCAATTGTGCTCGCTAATAACTAGACTGCGGATGTTTATGCATTTATGGGAAATTTTAATTCTGAAAAAACTACAGAATGCACTTAACACTCAAGAATATAAGAAATACTTAAAGTAAGGTACGAATTCTAGGGGTTGAGACAACCCTCTACAAAGCTCCAATTTCAATAATTTTATTAACAAAAATATGAATTTGCATGAAGATCCGCAGTCTACTAATAACCAACAAGGTTAAACGCTCAGTGGTGTGCACGAGCTTTTACATTCACGCAACGGCAAATCGGTCATTTGCTGAATCGATTGTTTTATCATCTTGCGTAATACCGTATCACAGTTGGATCGGATGGAAAACAAGGATCGACGATTTACAAATCGACAATTTTCTCTACAGTACACGTTGTTTCACGTTATCAGAAAGAATAGAAATGCTTGTAACAAAAGGTCGCAACTGTGGAGTCACCGATTTTATTCAAATTTCTTTTAACAATTCCAGAGCAAAAATAAGCAGACACATAGCCGGTCTTATTTAACATTTAGTTTTTGGATATCCATATACACGGTATCTCATCCAAATCAAGCCACTTTTTACTTCAGAGACGAAGACGACTAGCGGAAACTTAGAAATCTAAATAAATAACAACATATTATGCAAGAGGAAATTGATATGATTTTGAATTACGGAAAAAGTGAGCAATGTCTGAGGAAATCATATCACATACGTATCTGAACGTATTTTAATGTCCACTGGACGATATAGCAACACAGAATATGCACTTGTATATGCAAAATGTATTTGTTTCTTTTCTTACATATTTTACCATACGTAAACAGTGAGAAAAAATGGAAAAAAAGATTTTTATCTCTTGCGATATTCGAACACGGAAATTACATACGTAGAGAAATAAAAAATGTATATTTTTGCAAATAACGAGCTTATCTTTGCCGTGTAATCGTTAAAAGGCAGTTTGAACAAAATTTAACGCGTTAAAAGGGACAACCTGCATATTAATGTTTCGTCATATTTAATTTTCGTGTACCATAAACCCAGATCGTCACGGGATCGTCGCCTAATTTGTCTAAGATTTTATCCCATTGTGCTTGCCAGAAATCACCAGAAGCTCCCCAGAATCTCTGCAAATGCCTAAAGAACAGAGGAGAGTTTGTAACGTTATCGTGATCAACTCGAGACCGTGACGGTAAACATTTCGAAATCACGAAATTTCCTTGCTCGTTTCGAATACGAAGATAGGAAAATCGTGTTTTCTATACCTTATCTGGTAACATTTACCATGTCAGTGTGTTGCAGAAAGCGGCGAATCCGATTACGACGGTTCCGATTACAAAAAGGACGCTTCTTAAACTCGAAAGAAGGGTCGGCGGTGTTTGATTCTTACAACCATCGCTGCTGGCAGTCGTCACTGCAACAATAATTCATTTTAATAAGTCGTGAAGTACGTTGAAAAAAATTTCTATTTCAAAATTCGGACAATGTATGTCTAAATGAATTACTGTACCGCCGAGGGTCTGCTTATGGAATTACATTAGCGACGTTTAATTGATAGAATGTGGCGTATACAGTGGCATCGATAAATCTTTACATAAAATAATTATTTTTCATTCGTTTTCTACTTTTTCGATTTTTCTTGCCCGATAATTTGGTCAGTTTAAATCGTTTACATATTTATGACTTTTCCAGTGGCTGACTACTGGCACGTGAAAGGCTCAAGTTGAGGCATTCACCGTCCCCGACTGCTCTGGCCAAAATATTTTTTCATATCTCTAAATACTATATAACATATTTAAAAAGTACAATCTTAAACGAGTTCGATGGTACGCGAAACGTTTAGAGAATACACGATATATATCAAGAATAAAAAAAAACCCGTAAGATGAATTTTTATTCCGCCTTGAAAGGTCGTGTATCGTATCACAAAAAGAAATAAATACCGCGTGTCCACGTGCAACGAAGACGTCGTGGTTATTATTGTTACGTGCCGATAGAATCGGTGCTTTCTCTATCGTAAATTGAATAATTCGCTGTGGCACGACTTTGAAAATGATTCGATAATGCGAGATGCACGCTTAACTCACGGTTACGCGGTGGCGATTGCCTCGGTGTATTATCGCCGTTTGTTGTTTCGTACCTCTTCTGCGAAATATCGTTTCGAGCAACGTCATTGTCAGGAGGAGACTGGCCCGGCGCGCGTTCGAGCAGAGGCACACGCACTTTTAAGAATCACGATCACGTTCGTCCGCGAACGGTATCGTATAGTCGAGTGTCACGACTGACCAGAGTCGTGTTTCATCGCCGACTACGCTTCGGGCAATATAATCGCTCCCTCCACGATACATACGTACTACGTTTTCTTCGAGGCACTTAATTTTTTTTTTTTCTCATCTTTATGTAAATGTCAGGTCGGTGAGGATGTCCCGCACGATGGCAAATCAAACAACGCTGGAAATTCCATTTTCGAAAAGGCATACCCCGGTACCATCGCGAATCGTACAGTGCTGGACAAAATTATCTCGATACGAAATATTTTCTAGCGGATTTAGATCGGTCGACGAACCGTATACATATGTATACCGAAAGTACGGTGAACTTTTCTTTCTTTATAAATACTTGTATAAGCTTTTACATTAATTTCACAATGAATACCAGCTCCCCGAACCAAGATGGCGAAAGAAAAGGATTTCTTGTTGCGTCTGTTTTTTTTCGAATTTCCTGCCGTTTAATAATTATTTCACATATTTTACGCACTCTGTACAGTGTCGGTCTTGTAAACAAAATAAAAATAGACAGAACTAGCGATAGTTGATATCCTCTTTATAAGTAAACTAGAAAACATTCCAAATTCCTTTCCTCGGTGATTTGATCGTTTACTTTGACTCACATCCGAACCTTGACCACTGTCTCGTTTTCGAATCTCGTTCTTTCTCTCGTCCTTTTTCTGGCTAACCCCCCACCTTTCCCACTTTTCCAATCCAACGGGAGATCTCGTGCAAATTGGCAAGATTTTCCTCCGAAAAGTTACTTTTCAAATTCCATTATGATCCGACTGACGAATATCGTGTAAACAAAAGCACGTGACCACGATAAGTCGGAATGGCAGTTTTAATATATATAGAATAAAATTAATACTACCAAATGATAGATTTATTTGTAAACGATTTAACATTTATAATAATTGTTTAATACAAGATCTACCGACGGTTTTATCTATAAACATTTATTTATGTTTATCGTGTCACGATAAATCCTGATAATATACTCGGTCAATTAAATGAAAATTGAATCGCACGCGATAAGTTTAATCCCATTAAACATTATCCTTGCACGATGTGCCCCGTCATAATCACGTTTGTTTGCGTACGATACACGATTCGAAATTTTATTTTATTCATAGAGCGATTAGTTGCGATGCAAATCATTATCACATTTTAGAATTGAAATATAACTCGATGAAAAGTTTGCGCGAGAAAGTTCCGCGAATATACATATATATTTTCTTTAAAAACGTTTCATCCAGAGTTTGCAACGTTCATTTTTTTGGTGAACGTATGCCGTAGGAAAATTTTGCCGCTGACTGTATCGTAAATATGAAAATAAAGGGATGGTTACTTCAAATAATTCAACTCGATCTTAAAGTAACGTTTGTAATATTTCTTTTCTCCCATTACCACGTGTTTTTCTACAATATCTCTTAATTTTTCTAAAATTTATAAATTCGTAAATACAAAAATGATTGGGTATTAATACTTAAAATTATGCGCGACACATAAAGTTTGTACAGAATTATTTGAAAATAGAAAAGATTATTCTTATTCTTTATACAGGGTGTTCGGCCACCTCTAGCAAAAATTTTAATGAGCGATAGTAGAGGTCAAAATAAGACGAAAATCAAGAATACTAATTTGTTGGTGGAAGCTTCGTTAAAAAGTTATTAACGTTTAAAGTGCCGCTCTTACTGAATTTTTTTCTCGAAAATGCGCAAGATTTCGGGGGTATGTCTATTCACCAAAAATGACTGCAATTGAACCCTACAACCGAAAATAATTTTTCCACAACGTTTTGCAATTTTTTAATTTTCTCGAATAATTTCACACCTTCTCTATTTTTTTTCTCGAAAGTGGGCAGGATTTCGTGGGTATGTCTAATGACAAAAACTGATTGTAATTGACCCCCGCAACCGAAAATAATTTTTCCACAACGATTTGCAATTTTTTTTCTCCGTTGAACAATTTAGGCACCTAATTGGATTTTCAGTAAGGAATTTTTTTCTCGAAAGTGCGTACGATTTCGGAGGTATGTGTAATGATAAAAAATGATTGTAATTGATCCCCGCAATCGAAAATAATTTTTTTAAAACGATTTGAAAAATTTTTTTTCGCCGAAAAATTTCAGCACCTACTCGATTTTTTTTCTCGAAAGTGGATAGGATTTCGGAGGTATGTGTACTCACCAAAAATGATTGTAGTTGACCCCCGCAACCGAAAATAATTTTTCCAGAACGATTTGAAATTTTTGAATTTAATTGTTAATAACTTTTTAACGAAGCTTCCATCAACAAATTAGTATTCTTGATTTTCGTCTTATTTTGGCCTCTACTATCGCTCATTAAAATTTTTGCTAGAGGTGGCCGAACACCCTGTATACATATATTATTAATTTTTAAGTAAATTTTTCTGTGTGAAATATCATCAAAAAAAAAAAAAAAAATGATACAAGAATAAATTGTATATGTAACTTTTAAATAGACTACTATGATATAAATAAATAAATTGTAAATCGCTTTAGCCACATAATTTACTTGGTTTGATATCAACGTTAATCGCCATGTACCTATTACCTTTTATAGTAGAAACTTTTTATGTACTGGCACGGCTTACCCCTATCGTTTTACACAGTTCGATAAGTGCCGTGACGTTAATGTCTCGATGAAAACACAAATTTCGTTATTGATTAAATTTCTATCGGTCGTGTTGTGGCTGTGATCGCGACCGCGGGCAAGTCGGTAAAATAGAAGCAATCACGATTATTTCGCGTGCAGATATTCCACCAACGAGCAATAACAAAATCCAGCTATTTAAACGGTGATAAACAAAAAGCAGCAGGCGCACGATCGACCGACGCGCGTTTATTTACATTTCCACCTGCCACACATTCTTCCCTCCAAAAGTGAATGGCTGTCGATACACCGTTCGACGCCACATTCCATCTCGCGAAACAATAATGAAAAATACTGTAACGAAGGAAAGGGTAGCGCGGTCGACTCTCGATGACTGCGTAGTAAACGAAAACACACGGTTCAACGAATTCTGTGGTTTTGTACGGTGCAACTGTCAGAGAGTGGCCGCCTTGGGTTTATCCGAGTCACCCAAGCGTGTTTTCGTTCGAGTATCAACAGGGACGGAATGGAAATACGTATTGCTTCCTACCTTTGTGCTGGGTTTGTACGTCCATCATGATTGGGGATGACAACGTTTATGGAAAAACCACGTAAATTCTTGTGTCTGAAGTGAATGAATCGCATTTGCCACAGCACACACGATAGTCGATAAACGCAGACCGTTGATACTGGCAAATGCGCCGTAGCGCCAAGCGCGTACCTACAGCTTGAGTGTCGTATATACATATATATATATATCTATATATACCCATACATATATTATATATATATGTATATATATATATATATATACGTTTTCGTGTGTGCTATTTGTATACTGGGTGTTCAGGTATCGATGCCCAACGTTATTCTTGGAAAAGACTGCTGCGAGAAAAAATGCAGATCACCATTTTTGTCTTTTATTCAAGTACGACTTGTATCAATTTTGAAAATTTATAACAGAGTTCGTAAAAGTGATCGTGCTGTCTTTTAATCGAACCGCTACATGTCACCTATTGTATCTGGTGAAAGTGACGATTGAGAAAGTTCAACGATATATGATATATGTAATAATATTCGAGATCGCACAAGATCTTAGAATAGTAGCGTATACGAGAACTCGAAATAGACAAAGGTACCAATATCATACCCATATTTCGATCATAATTTTATTGCCTTTTGTTAAAATCGTTCGTAATTTTGTATTATTTATATTTTTAAATTGTATACGTCTCTTGCCAGTCGGTACATTATTTAAACTATTTTTATTTTATTTTTGGCTTAGTATGATATTGAACACCATGAAATGATCTTGAAAGTATCTTGAAAATAGTTAAGATCGCTTTCATTTGTCCTTTTTTTTTTCATATTTTTCTTATAATTGTTTAGAAAAATACAATGGATCTTCATGCATGAGCACCTTGTATGCATGTATCAGATGTATATAATAAACGGTATTCTATAGTGCGTGATACAGTATGTTCATGCATTCGCATTAGGTTAGAACTGCACAATCATTTTTATTACCTCTAAATGTCAGTAATAACGGAAGCAAATATTATGTTATTTTTTATGTCTGGTTTAATTCTGATTCTACCCTCTCCGTGTCATACAATTTGTCAACAAAGTTGTCGATACATCATGTAATACTAGCTTAAGATTTTGTTATTGTACAGGCATATATACGTATATATATTTATATTATGTATTATGAAAATTACATGTCACATATTTTGGTAAAAAAATGTTAAAAAATAATCTAGATTATCGTGTACATACATAAGATTTGCAGGTGTGAATGTCTCCTGTCACATATGAATCAGCTGTTATCACCTGTTGTGTCGCAATGTACATATGTATGTATATTGATACATATGCGGCAAGCTTCAATGAGATTACTTTCTATGCTACTTAGCGGTCTTCCAACAGGTATGTACTTTTCCCTCTGCTAACTATGATAATAAAGCACAATTATTCTACTGTAAATATTAACAAGAAAAAATCGAAAATTATATATACGAAAATGAACATTCACATTTAACCGTTAACCTTAATTAAAATTATTCTAAATTCAATTTTGTTTAGGTTGTATATACAAAATAAAATTTGAAGAAATATATAGTAAACTACAAGCATTATATTCATGTTTAAAATTTTATTCAACGATATCCAGAAATTATACGAAGAACACGCTCGTTACAATATGTTTTTTAAATATTTTCACAAGTTTACAGTTAATAAAATCCAATTAAACGAATGTTGGATGGAAAAATCTTGGAATTATTAACAGTTAAAAACTGTTAAAATAAAATAGTATTGTAACAACAAATACAAGGAATACCAAGGCCTACATTTACTTATTAGTAAAGACTAATAAATATAATGAATAATTTGAATGGACAAGTAAATGTTAAATAAAATCCGTGTTTGAAATTGCCCAACTTCACATTATTTTGTAATGTTAAGATATTCCGTAATATGGCAGCACATATGCGTGTTACGCAGTGCTTGATTTAGTCCAGGGCCAGAAATGAAAAGGAAAATATAGAAAAATAGCAACTTTAACCTTACATATGTTGACTTAATTCATCGTAGTAAGGTTCGTTTGGCATTTCATTTTAAATGCGAAAACATTTGACTAGGTATATCAAGATTTCCAAGTTTGAAGAATTTCATTGCTAAACTTGCGAGAATTGATAACTATCGGTAGCCCTCTGGTATCGAATTTGGTAAGTTTTCAGGCTTCAGCTGAATCTGGTAGACTTTGACGAGCTTAAAGGTAGCAACCGGGGAAACATTCCTAGCAAACGGCCCGTTCACCGATCGGGGTGAGTTATACGTCATTCGATTCGTCTAATTCAATACATTATTGATATGCATTTCATTATCTGCGGAAATTCGTTATTTTTTTATAAACTTGTCGTAAAGTTACAGTAAAAAAGTAAGGTTAAGTATTAAATTAAAATTTTAAAGAAATTATGCTGAAAAATAAACAAGGTTCAAAAAAGGAAGAGGAGGTCCAGGTGAGAAAATTAGTTTTATGAAAAGCAAACGACAGTTTTTCGTTTTATACATACTTGAATTTGAATTTAGGAATATGCAAGGAGACTTTCCAAAATTAAATAAGAGCCAAGCTGTCGCGTCGACATAAAGAGGGAATTCTGCCTGGTAAAGGCACATCGGTTACATCGGACACAGCTTCGGCTAACATGACCGAACAAGCTGTTGTTGATCTTCAAGAGAATTTAAAAGACAAAGACTCTGTCATTGACTCTAAAACAAAAGAACTTACACTTATGTCTGCAGACCTTTCTATGAAAGGTGAAATGACATTAGATACCCTTGAAGATACAGAAATGGGAACACTGCAGGATATATATAGGTATTTTAGAAAAATCTAATAAAGGAATATCTGAAATGCAACAATTGGATGAACCTGTATCCCATTTACATATAGAATCAATGATTGCTACTTCTCTGGAACAAGAAATAGAAGAGCATAAAAAATTGATTGCCGAGCAAAACGGCTTGATCGAAGAAATGAAGATTAAACTTACGAATAAAGAAGAAGAATTGGAAGAGAAAGCTAAGCTGATTATAGAATACGAAGCATCTGGACAGAAAACGGAGAATTTAGAAAGCGAATTGAAGGAAATGCAGGAGAAAATGGAGAAATTACGGACAGATAAAGCTGTTATGTAAGAAGAATGTAGAGTGTTAGAAAATAAAAATGAAATGTTGCTCGAAGAGAAGAATGCAAAAGACGTAGAAAATAATTTATTGAAACAGCAAATGCAAGATACTACAATTTTATACGAGTCACAGATCTAGGAGCACCTTACAGCAGTCTCCAAAAAAGAAAATGAAATCTTCAATTTAAAAGATGTTATCGAAGATAAGGATCAAGAACTGCATAAAACTTAAATGTAAAGTTTCATTTAAATTCATTCAGCTATTTATACTCAATCGTATTAATAATGTACATATGTGTGCTCATGTATGGGAATAATAAAAAAAAATTTCTTTTTTTTCAATAATTAAAATATGATCAGGGGGTCTTAAAACGTGTATTTCCGTAAAATAAATTTTACAACATTTTTTTTCATTATGGGTAGTTTGCTTATGTGCTCCTACATAGGTCGGAAAGTAAAAATGCCTGGGCAATCGAGAATCCAAATCGTATGCCGTTGACGGTAGGTCGGATTTCAGTTGTTAAGAGCGAGAAGGCAAATGTGAGTCTTTCTCTCTCGACTCCCACGAGGCGGTCCGAAATTATTGTGGACAGCTTCGGAGAATCGAGAAAGAGGGCATGGCGTCGGTGTGTCTTTGTCGACTTTCCGAAACTCCGGCAGCTCACGTATGCGTGATCTGGCATGTGTGAGTTTCGCACCGTGGATGCTTCCTGGCACCTCTGATGTAGACTTTGCATTTGGAAGTGTATCGATGCAAATTATACGGCATTCATGTGTAATTATTAATAAAGTTATTGTAAGTATTGTAAAGGTAGAATTAAATATGGACACGTGTATATTTGTTCTTGGTTATACACAGATGTGAATGGTGAAAGTACGCTAGCAAAATATGTGCACGAATAGTGACGTGTTCCCATCTTGACAATTCCAGGAATATAAATAAAGGTAAATAGGTTTTGTAACATACTTCTTTTTATAGAGATTGATGATTTAATTGCACTTCCGTACGAGTTAATCGATTTTTACAGATTGTACATGATCTGTTACAATTTATTAAGATACACTTTATTTCCTTTAATACTGGTTACGTCATTTCGCTACGTGTTCCAAATTATTTACCAAATTTAATTTACGTTTTATGATATCGATAGTACGTTTGTTAATCTCTATAAAATTCGATGAGATCAAAACGTTGAGGTTAACTTAGCGTTTCGCTAAAGATTCCTATGTATTGTTACCAACACTGTTTCATAAGCCCCTTTATGTATTCCTTACATTATAGTTTTATAATGTACATTAAATAAATAAATGTTGCTTATATTTCATTGAAATTTTGTGTGGTATTTCTATACCCATGCCATCCAAATATGTAGATATATACATAAATCAATATTGCAATCCCTAAAATATTAAAAAGTAAAAACTTGTATTTTGAATTAAATTTTGTTACATTTTTTTATGATAAAATTGTTCTGTATATATAAATCATTATCTTAAACATGGCATAAAATGGTTTCAAATTTATATACGTTTCTTCATTTAATACTTTATATAAGGTATCATAAAGAAAGTTCAAGGTTTCTACTTAAAAGCTACGTTGCAAACATTAAATATGCTACAAGGTAGCCTGTCCATGTTATGACATTCAGCATCTATATAGAAAGATAATATAATTAGTTTACCCCAGTCGAGCTTTCATCCAATTAGTCTATGAAAATGAGAGCAGTGGGTGACACACTGTCTGATCACTTTATAAAAACTTTCACTGCCATTGACTTCATAATTTCTTACTCGTAAGAGTTTAAGTCTATGTTATACAAATTATAATGAAGTGGTTTCTACTGTTATTAAGTGCACAGTTCATAATGTTGGGTATGTCGGAAGAACCACCTGGAACAAAGGAAGAGGAATCGATCGAACGACCTACGATAGGGGATGAAGGAAAGTGCGAAGAAAATAAGAGTCAATTGGAAAATTTTAAAGAAATTATGCTGAAAAATAAACAAGGTTCAAAAAAGGAAGAGGAGGTCCAGGTGAGAAAATTAGTTTTATGAAAAGCAAACGACAGTTTTTCGTTTTATACATACTTGAATTTGAATTTAGGAATATGCAAGGAGACTTTCCAAAATTAAATCTAGAGCCAAGCTGTCGCGTCGACATAAAGAGGGAATTCTGCCTGGTAAAGGCACATCTGTTACATCGGACACAGCTTCGGCTAACATGACCGAACAAGCTATCAATGATATTAGTCAAGCGAAAACTGCAAAAGCAAAGTCTACTTTACTCCAAAAAAAATTGGCAGAGGATAGGAAAGTATTTGAACAACGAAATAAAGAAAGAACCGAAACTAAACGTGCGGTAGAAGAGAAAGTGGAAGCTATTAGGCAACAATTGGAAGAAAAAGATGTACCTAATACAGACTTAGCAACAATGGGTCTGCAAAAGGATCATCTATCGGTAACGCCTATTAATCCGATCATGATAACTTCGGAGGTTGGTAATCAGCAATTTTTTTATTTTTTATCAGTAAATTCTTTATTAACCCTCCAGCCTCGGGGAACGCTCATAGTGCGTTTCGCTTGTTCCAACGATTCCGCCGAGGCACGCTATTATCGCGTAGCTTATAATTTTTATGATATTTAAGCATCGGGAGTCGCTATTTCTACGTTGAATCTATTTTAAATTCTTCTGATACTTCTGCCACGATTGTCGAGTCTCAACTGACGTTGGTGACATTGTCGGAGCCGCAGTCTTAGAAAAAAATCGCCCGCAGCTGGAGAGTTAAGTAATTATAGCTATTAGAAAACTGTGTTTAATATTTTAATCGTAGATCATGTCACCAATTCAAATTGAGAATATTCGAGAGAAAGAAAATAAAATTGCGGAACTCAATGATAAAATTTTCGAATTAGAAGCCATTGTTGTTGATCTTCAAGAGAATTTAAAAGACAAAGACTCTGTCATTGACTCTAAAACGAAAGCAGTTACACTTATGTCTGCAGACCTTTCTATGAAAGGTAAAATGACATTAGATACCCTTGAAGATACAAAAGACGAAATGCGAACAATGCAGGAGTATTTCGAACTTATAGAGGCATCGCTAAAAAATAAAAATAAAAATCTATTAATGCAATTAGAAGAAAGAGATAACAAAATAGTAGAATTAGAAGAATCAATTAAACAGTTTGGTACTGTAGCGGTAACTAAAGAAGACATGAAATCGCTGCAGGAAAATTTTTTACTTAAAGAATCTTCTTTGAAAATGAATAATGACAATCTTCTTCAACAACTGGAAGATTATGAATTAAAACTAGCAGAAGCTTATGAACGAGTATTTAAATTAGAATCTGGTATTGGAATAGAAAGAAATTCATCAATTGACGATTTACAGTATAAATTAGAAAAATTAGAACATAGTAATAAACAATTACAGGATGAAAAGTATGAATTACAAAAAAGTGTTGCCGATCTTCAAGATAAAATTATAAACGTTTCTTTACATGGCAACGGGGCGATAATAGAAAAGGATAATAGAATAGTTGAACTTGAAAACTTAATAGAAGAACTAAAGCAATCTAATACGCTTCTTGAGGAAGAGTCTAAAGTAGAATTGCAAAAACAATTAGCCGACGTGACACAGAAAAATGGAGAGTACATAAATAAAATAGCCGATCTTGAAAATTTAGTACATGAACTTGAAGAACAAAAAAGTAATATCGCAGCTAGATTATCCGATGAGAACGCTGCGAAAGACGACGAAAAAGTAGCAAAACTCACCAAGGAATTAGAAGAATTAAATAAAAGTATGATAAAAATTAAAGCACAACATAGGAGTAAAGTGAAAAATTTACAGAAACAATTGGAGAATTTCAAAATGGTGAGGCATTTTTATTCTCAAATTTTAATATTAATTTTTTAAATAAATGATGGTTGATATTTATGATGGAATTTATGTATTGTATGCTGTCATGTTTCAGGTGTCCGACACAAACGCAGAACTTGTCAGGCTGGCAAACCAAGTGGCATTATTAGAGGAGGAGAAAGGTAACCTTCAGCTGAATCTGGTAGACTTTGACGAGCTTAAAGGTAGGAACCGGGACAGAAATCCTGTCGTTGCTGTTTCCATTGTTCTAGTTTTGTTACCAATTGTACGTGCAATGCATTATCTATTTATATTACTCTCAAAACGGTTTATTATCTGCAGCCCTATTTTCCCTTGCTGTAGGAAAGATAAAATATACAAAGTGTATACAAAGTGATCGGTAACTGATGGTATAAGCAAACATGGGGTGTCTCTGTGTGAAAAAATGTGTCAAAAATATAGAATAATATTTCTTTATACGAGGCTTGGTTTTCGAGAAAATCATTTAAGTATTTTCCGGGTACACGTATCCGACAAACGTTTAAAGCAGAGATTTACATTTCACGTTTATATCTTTCTAAAATTCATGTGTATATGTATATGTAGCTAATATATCCGTGCTCAAATTCGTCTAGTGTTTAATACACGGATACATGGGTATCAGCGTTGGGCAAAGTTATTTCGAATAACGAGTATATTAGATTTTTTCTAATTCACGTGACCTTTAGTTTAAAGTTAATTTTCTCGAAAACCAAGCCTCGTACGAAGAAATGTTATTCTGTTTTTGATTTATTTTTTCATGTATAATTATTCACTGCTCGGTTGCACGATTAGTTACCGATCACCTAGTACACGTATTTGATAATACGTACAAAGCACTTATATTGCATTCTATTATATTTTTTGAAAATTGATTGTATAAAAGATAGTTTTAAAAGGCCAGAATTATTTTACTCTTGATGCTTACTCCTTAAGAGATATATTTTGATATCGGGACAGTTATAATTATGCTAATTTCTGGTGATGGAGTCCTATCACACAATTTAGTTAGGTATATACTAAATCGTAAAAGTATTTATTCAATATACTAATCAGTTATATTATATCAAGTGTCTTTTAGTATTTTAATATAATATGGTACCTACTTTGCTTGTCAAAGTTTGCTATACTCTGATTTGTAGAAGTAGACTTATTCCTTAGAACGTAATATTTATATTTCATATACATTTTGGTATAATTAACTTGCATGAAAAATTGGACAAATAATTTTTTACTTTTTTTTTAAATCATCTACAATATGCTGCTGTACAGTTTATACATAATGTACTATTATTTGAAACGATCATCTAATACAATTAAAAGTATAATTAATACTCTACCGCATTAACAAATAAATAAACGGTGCTAAAATTAATAAGCGAATCAATATTTTATTGGCTTTCAATCATTGGCTAATTGCTTACTAACTTAATGGTTTTATGGCTATTAATCGTGTTTGATATAACATCAAAAAATAATCTTTTGGAAATAGTTAACGTATACGTATAATTTAATATCGTTCATTTAAACGCGTTAAATTTATATTTATATATTTTTAACTTGCTTGCTTTGCACCTACTATCAATTATCAATCAATTCTCCGTAATGTAAATTATACATGTCATTGGCATGTTGTACAATTTACACAGCTTCAGCAGGAGACTGGCAAGAACGTATTGCCGACCTTGAAAGTAAAGTTTCTGTTCAATCGGAAGAAATTCAAATGCAAATTGAAGCTATCGCTGCTTTAGAGAATCAAAAGTTGGATTTAATGCAAGGTAATACATCACGTGAATTTTTTATCACTCTTTTCACTCCATAAGTATCAAATATAACGTGCGGTTTAGAAGAATTTGTTATTCTGTATAGAGATAAGTCGAAACTTGATTTTTAACTTCACGAAACTCGAATTCGAGACTTTTCGAGGTGACGAAACTTTCGATACTTGTAATACGTTTATTCTTGTTCTTCTCCTTTAACTCTTTGGGGCACGTTGGGATTAAAAGTGTCCCACCTTTTTGATGCACCGTAATGCATGGTGGGACATAATATCTAATTTTACATTATGCGATACTTTTATTAATAAAAATATACCAATTTTGTTTAATTTAAAATGCAATAAAATTTCTATACAACATGGGCCTATTTTATTATCTGAAATCCTGTGCCTCAAAGAGTCAAGGAGATATCTATTTTAACAGGAGCTAAAATTTTTAAAAATTTTTGTTATAATATTAATTTATTTATTGATATTTATTATATGATTTATTTAAAAATAGCATAAAGTTTTGAGTTTCGAAAACTGAAAAAGTTTAATTTTGCAACATACGTTTGACTTGTATTTCAGAAATTCATACGGCGAAACAGGAAATTTCATCTTTAGAAGCAGAAAATGCAGAATCTGAAAATCTGCGAGTAACGGCCGAAATGAAAATTGTTAATTTTGAAGAGCAATTAGAGGCTATGCATAAATTGCAAAATGAAAGTAAATTGAAATCCTCGTCGGAAGTTAATCAAGCAGATCTGATTAAGCAGATAGAAACTTTAACGCAAGAAAATAGTGAACTGTATAATATAATATCCAAGTTGGAATATAAAGGTGATTCTGACTCTGGATCCACAGAGTCGTTTGAAGACATGCGTGAATTGGTCAGAAATTATTTGTTGCAAAAGATCGAGGACTTGACGCAGAAAAATAGTGAATTAACAATGAAATTGAACAAAGCTCACGAGAAAGAAAATTCACAGATCGAATATACAGAACCGTTCGAAGCGAATACCGATTTAACAATGAATACAAGTCAGCCGGAGGAAAAGGGATCTTCTGACACTGGTTCGACAGAATCTTTTGAACGTATTCCAGGACACAATGAAAGTAAGGCAAAACTTGAGACCTTTACTCAAGAAAATAATAAAGTAGTACTTATGTTTAGAAATTTTGAGAAGTACTTTGAACATACAGAACCAACTCGATTGGCGTCCAACTCGGACGTTGATATGAAATCAAAAGTTGATAATTTGCTAGAAGAAAATAATCAATCTCTAGAATTGTCGAAACTTAGAATGCAACTGGCAGAACTGAACGAAGAGAATAATAATTTACAAAAACAAATCGAAATATTGACCGAAGAAGAAATCTCGTCTGTTAAATCAGAGGATCCTCTCGGTAAATCAAAGAGAGAAATTGATTTTACAGCACAAATCGATGAGTTGTTAGAAGAGAAAACTCTTCTTCAGAAGGAGATAAAAGAATTGCGTAATAACATGGAACAATCACACGACGTTGCTGGTCAGGGTCTTGAAATAAATAATTTGAAATCGAGAATAGAAGAATTGTTGAAAGAGAAAGAAGAAATATTCGAAAGGTTGTCGGAGCTTGAAAAGTTTAACGAGAAATTAAAAGAAGAGGTAACTGATGTTACCCGCGAAAAGGAACAATTACATATAAAAATTAACCAAATGTTACCCGACGATTCGACCAACGAAAGGTTAGGGGTTCTTGAAAAATTGGAAAAAATTTATCAGGAGAACCAGGAACTTGGCGAACAAATTAACAAACTTTTAGAAAAATCTAACAAAGGAATATCTGAAACGCAACAATTGGATGAACCTGTATCCCATTTACATATAGAATCAATGATTGCTACTTCTCTGGAACAAGAAATAGAAGAGCATAAAAAATTGATTGCCGAGCAAAACGGCTTGATCGAAGAAATGAAGATTAAACTTACGAGTAAAGAAGAAGAATTGGAAGAGAAAGCTAAGCTGATTATAGAATACGAAGCATCTGGACAGAAAATGGAGAATTTAGAAAGCGAATTGAAGGAAATGCAGGAGAAAATGGAGAAATTACGGACAGATAAAGCTGTTATGGAAGAAGAATTTAGAGTGTTAGAAAATAAAAATGAAATGTTGCTCGAAGAGAAGAATGCAAAAGACGTAGAAAATAATTTATTGAAACAGCAAATGCAAGATACTACAATTTTATACGAGTCACAGATCCAGGAGCACCTTACAGCAGTCTCCAAAAAAGAAAATGAAATCGTCAATTTAAAAGATGTTATCGAAGATAAGGATCAAGAACTGCATGCCAAATATACGGAATTACAAAATAAAATGATCATGATAGATCAATTACAAGACGAATTGAATAATTGTCGAGTGTTACTTGAAGAAAAGGATGCCTCGATTACGAAGATGCTTAGTGAAGTTGCAAATCTTAACGACTTAAGGAGAAGCAAAGAAGAAGAAGAAGAAGAAATATATTCTTTGCGAAAAGATATCGACGAATTAAATAACAAGTTAAAGGAATCAATACCATTGAAAGACTATGATGAATTGTTACAAGAATGTAAAAGTAAGGACTTGATTATCGATGAAATTCAATATAGAATGAATGCGACTATAAAAGAGAACAGTAATTTATTAGAAAAAGTGAAGAATCTGTCTGAAGAAAATGGTGATATGGAAAATGAATTAGCTGAAAAGCAACGAGAACTCGTTGATTTAATAGCAACGAAGGAGGAATTAGATGCACGTGTTGCAGAATCTGAGAATGACAAGGCTAAAGCCGAAAGACAAGTTTGGGAATTGCAGAGCATTATAGAGAACAATGCTAAATATGTCGAAGATTTACAAACAGAATTGAGGGCAGGATACAAACAAATAGAACAACTTAAGGTAAAACATACGGAAGATATGGAATTACAAAACCAGAGACTGGAAAGCCTGATCGAGGAACTGAATTCCAAGACGCAAGAATGCGAGTCGTTGAGAGGCGAATTAGAAGAAAAGGAGAGACTCGTTGGGCAGAATCTAACGGAGGAAGTTAAAGTCGCTTTGGAAGCGAAGGTTATCGACTTGGATCAGAAATTGAGGGACTCCGAAGGTAAAATACAAATGCAATTGGAAAAGATGAAGAAAATAGCAGCGAATCTAAAGAAGAAGACGGTAGTGTGCCAAGAGCTTGAGACAAGGGTCACCGAGCTCGAAGAGAAATGGATGACCGAAAAGGACGAGAAAGAAGCTAAAAACAAGCAGATTCAGGACGTGGAGCTCTCGATGCGCGAAAAGGATAATAAAATAGCCGATTTGGAGGAGAAGTTGATAGAGACGAGAAACGAAATTGCAGAAGGTTTAAGGAATATCGGTGAGCTGATATCCGAATTGAACAGTACAAGAGGGAAAATGTCATTGCATACTCAACAGATTACAGAAATGGAAGAGGAAATTTTAAAACTAAGAGCAGAGTTGGATATTTCGAGGGGTAAGATCGACGCGGAGAAAGAAGCGAAAGAAAACGTGATGTTGGAGTACGAAGGTTACAAGCGACAAATATCCGAAGAGAACGAGTGGAAAGAATATGAACTGAACGAAGTGAAGGAGAAGGCGAGAGAACTGAGCGTACGGATGCAAGTTATGGAGGCGGAATATATCGAACAACTCGCGACGATAAAGAATCTGAAAACCGAGTATGGTTTGTTGCTGTCGAAGCAAACGCAGATCAATGAGAAATTAGAGAATGTTGAAACAGAGTCGGAGGAACGAAGAGTGTTGATCGAACGGATGCAAAAGAGCGTGGTTAGTACCGCGACAGAGGCTACGCAAACTACGGAAGAAGAAATCATCGAGGACGATGCGAAGATTGCTGGTGCACAACGTTGCGGTCATTGCGAGCAATGTCAAACTCTGGTCCAAGCATTGGAGGCGAAACTGCAGGAGCGAGAGGCGGAAATTGAAAATTTGGACAACGAGTTAGCTAATTCTATCGGTAATTTCGTTCAAATACGGGAATCCCTAAAGTTCCACGACTTGATGAATCAAACTACGATGAGGGACAGATCGTTAATCGATCCTTACAACGAGATTTTAATGCAATATAACGCGCTGACGTCCAGGTATGAAGAGTTACTGAAGGAGAATAAGGAGCTAGCGGAGACAGTTGAGAATTTACAAGTTGCGAACGTTACTTTGGAGGAGAAGATAGGCGCGACAGAAAAGTCAGAAAGCGACGATTCTTCGAATTCCGATTTGGCGAAGAGATGCGAATCCCGGGAAACGGAATTGTTGAACGTGCAGAGAGAAATGCAGGTTGTTCAGGAACGCGCCACTCGGCTCGAGGAACAATTAAATCTACGGATAGCTTCGCTCAGATCCGAGGAGGAGAAACGTATCGAAATGGAAAAGTTGTTGCAAGATACCAGAAACAGCCTCGAGCAGGAAATCGAGTCACTGAAAACCGAAAAGGATGGAAATCGGAAAACGGTGGAGGATCTGAGGGCCGAGTTGGAGATGTACAAAAATGAAACCGTGGAATCCAAGGAGAGATCGACGATCGTTAAAAGAGAAGCGTCTGTGTTCGATTTACCAGAAAACGAGCAAGACAATGCGCCTCGGTTGTTCGACGCTTCGAAAATATTTGGCGCGTTCTCCGGTTCCGGTTCCGATTCGTTGAACGACATCGAAGTAAAGAGATTACAGACTCTGTTGGACGAAAAGGAAACGCAATGCTCCAATCTTACCCAGCAGATCGATTACTTGCAGAAACTAATGATCGAAGAAAGATCACAGATGACGCGGAACTTTAGCCAACACGTCGAGGAATTGGGAATTGCTCGAAAGGAGCTGCACGAGGCGCGAGCGAATTTGGACAGATTGGAACAAGCTCTGACCGAGAGGGACGGCCAGATCGATTCTTTAAACGTGGAGCTGCGAAATTTCAGGCTACGGATAACGGAACAGCAGAACGAGTTATCGGCTAAAGAGAACGAGATACAGGAATTAAATATGAATCTAACTTCGACGGAGGAAGCGTTGACCAAGCTGATCGTCGAGCAGAACGAGCAGAACGTTTTGTCGGAGTCGTACAGATCGCGGATCGCGACTTTGGAAGCGGAATTCAAGAACTCGACCGACCCGGAATTGATACAGGATCTGGAGCATCGCGTTTCGAACATCACGCGAGAGAGGGACTTGCTTCAGCTGCAGGTGAACGATTTGTCGAGATCGTTGGAGGAGACGAAGGACAGTCTCGAGGCTGGAAGAAATTTACAAAGAACGGAGATGGAGAAAACCGCGCGGGAAAGGGACGAGGCGAAAGAGCTAGTCGCGGATCTCACCAAGGGTTTGGAGGAGGCTTACAAAAATTCTGATAGGACGTCCGCCAAAGAATCGACGCGTTTGGAGGAAGCAGCAGCCGCTTCGGCAACGATCGCCGAAGAAGACGTTAAGCAAACTGCACCGTCGGACACGCTGGCTGAATTCACATGGGACGCGGAGAAATTAAACGTCGACGAGGAAACCTGGGATTGGAACGCGGACGATGCCCAATTGGCTGGCGAACACCTCCCCGCCACTTTGCTGCCCAACGCGGAAATGCAATTACGAGCAAAAGTGGACGATCTTCAGGACCGGATCGGAGACTTGGAGGCAGAGAGGAACAAACTGCTGGAGGAGAACAAGGCCGCCCAGCTGAGAAGCGGACGAATGATAAAGAAGCTGAAAGAGTACAAGGTGCAGGTGGAGAGTCTTCAGCAACAGCTGAAGATACAGAAGTCGGCGAGCTACTTCTACGAGCTCGATTCCGCGATAGAGGAGGAGCTAAAGTCTCAGATCAGTAAATTGGAGAAGGGTTTGAACGAGGCGAGGGATGAGCAGAGGAACACCGTGGCGGAGAAAGAGACGTTGACGAAACGTCTGGACGTGGTTGTATCCGCGAACGAAAGATACATGGAGATGAAAGAGAGGCAGGACATGGACATGGAGGTATTGCGTATACGGAACAAAGAACTCACGGATAAACTCGAAGCCCTCGATCAGAGGTTGCAGGAGTTTGGAGGACCTCGAAACGAAACCGTTCCATCGAAAGCAGAGGCGAAACCGATCGAGCACGATCGTAGACGAAAGAGATCCGTGGATAGCGAGGACCTGGAGAGCCTGTGCAAAAGGTACAAGGACGAGATCGACGATCTCAAGGACGAAATGGAGGCCCTGGCGACGGAGAACGAGCAGCTGCAGCATTTCTTGGGCGAGCAAAAGACCAAGTTGTCCTCTTTGGAGTCGAAACGAACGGCGGACGAGAACGAGTCGCTTCAGATCGTGGACGAGCTGAACAAAAGGATTTCGGAGCTGCAGGGCGTGTTGAGCAAGTCGAGGGAGGAGTACGACACGCTGAAGAAACAGTACGAGCAGAGTTTGATGGACGCTGACAATCAGGTGTCGATAATGAGGCAGAACGCGGATTATTTGAAAGAGGAGGCGTTCGAGAGGGTTAGCAAATTGGAGATGGTGGTAACCGATTTGCGTAAGCAGTTGGACACGTTCGCTGCGCGCGAGACCGAGTGGCTGAGGGATTTGGAGCAAGCGATGGGAGAGAAAGCTGCGTTGGAGGAGAAACTGACCAATTTAACGTCTGATTCCGAGAAGCAGTTGTCGGCCATCGGCGCGTCGATGGCGGAAGTGACCGATCTATTGAACGTCAGGATACAGGAGGTCGCCGATCTGAAGCAGGAACTTCAGAGGCAGTACGTGGACCACGAAGAAACGAAATCGAAGCTGCAGGACACCATAGAACGTATCAGCCGGGAAGCGAACGAGAAGAAGGAAGAGGCTGAGAGTCTGAGGAAGGCGCTCGACGAGAAGGAGAACGAATTCGTTCAAAGGCAAAGCGTGGAGACGGTCAGTGCTCTCGTGAGCCAAGCCACGCAAGAACTCGCTCAAAAACACGCGATAGAGATCGAGGAGAAGGAAAAAGAGCTACGTAGCCTCAAAGAAAATCTATCCGTGCTGGAGCAACGCAACGACCACGAGCTCCAACTGTTGAGACAGAATTTAACGGAGAAAGAGTCGGCCCTGGAGTCCCTTCGATCGAATTTATCTCTCGCGAAAGAACAGTTGGTCGACAAAGAGTCACGAGTGTCCGAAAGCGAGAAAAACATCGAGAAACTGTTGGCAGAGAATCAGAGGTACGTGGAGACGATCGGTGAATTGCAGAGCCGTCTGAGCGAGGCGGAAGCAGTCTCCGCTCGTGCGCACGAGTACGTTTTGCACGCTCAGGGCTTGGAACGAGAGCTCGAAAACATGAGAGCGTTCCTGGCGGAGAAGGACAGGGCCCTCGAACGATACGTTCAAGAGTCCAGCAAAGAGCACGAGGCAAAATTGGCGAGCCGCGATGTCGAGATAAACGAGCTTCGCGAGGAATTAGCTACGTTCGACGACCTGAAGACCGAGTTGCTGGAGAGGGCTGAACAGATGAACAGTTTGAGCTCGGAACTGGACGAAACGAGCCGCATGTTGAGCAATCGGATGCTGTACGAGAAAGAAATGGAATTGAACAGGCTGTCGATGGGACAACACGACGACAGACAACAGGGTAGCGTTTCTAACGTGGTCGATGGTTTGCCTCTTTTCAGAATGGCGGACGACAGTCGCGATCTGCAACGCACGATAGACGCTATGCAGGTCGAGCTGGAGAAGAAGCAAAGCGAGATACAGCATCTTAAGTGTATTTTGGAGGAGAACACGTACCGCGGTATGGTCCAAGAGATGCAGGATAGAATAAATTCGCTGTACAACGAGAAGGCCGAGTTGGAGTCGTTCCTGGAGGTGGCCGCGCTGAGAACCGAGGAGAAGGAGAAGCAGATCGACGATCTGAAGCGGCAAATCGAGAAGCAAAGTCTCGAATCCGTCTCGAAGGACGAAACGAATTCGGTCAGCAGGGATAGAAGGTCCGTTCAGGATCAGGAGGAGATCGTACGGCTGCAGAACGAGCTGCACGCGAAAGAGCAAGAGGTGAACGAGCTGAAGTACGTGATAGCCGAGAAAGATTCGCAGTTGTCGCTTCAAGCGAGCATGGAACCGCAGTCGGACGATTTCGAGTCGCGTGAAATGGTGCAGAGGCTGACTGCTGAATTGTACGGCAAAGAACAAGAGATACAACAGTTGAGGTCGACCATCGCGGAATTGGAGACGGAGGTGTCGCGTCTTGGAGATTTCGAGAGGCTTTACGGCGAAACGAAGGACGCCATGTCGAAGCTCAGCCTGGAGAAGGAGCAGGAGCCACGCGAATTCCTGGAAACGAAGCTCAGAGAAAAGGAGATGGAGATAGACGAGATCAAGCAGAAGCTGCTTATCGAGAACAAAAATATTATGGACCAGTTACAGTTGAGAGACAGAGACATCGTGAATCTGAGAAAACAGCTCGAGGAGTCCTCCATGGTGGTGGGAGAAGCAAAGGATAAGTTACGCGAGAAGGAAGAAGAATCTGTCCGATTGAACGCTGATTTGGCGGAGAAGGAACGCAGGTTGGCGGAATTGAGTATCACCAAGGATACGGAGCTTCACAATCTGAAGGTTCAAATCCACGAGAGGGAGGTTCGTATCGACGAGCTCCTTGCGTTGTCCGACGAGGAGGAAAAGCAGCTTAACGAGTTGAAGAGTACCTTGGAGGCGAGGGAGACGGAAATCAATTCGTTAAAGTCGCTTCTGGAGGATAAAGTGAAGGAGTACGAGTTGATACAGAATGTGTTGAAGAAGGAGGTTTCTATTATCGACGCGTCCGCGTCTGGAAGCGTCGAAACTCCCGGAGAAGAGAACAAAATGTCGACCTCGCAAGAATTGGACCTTGCTCTTTACATGCTTCACCAACGGGACGTCCGTTGCGAGGAATTGACGCACGAGTTGATGCAGCTGCTCGAGGAACGCGATACGTTGCAATTGCGTTTGTCCAACGCGATAAGAGTAAACGAGGAATTAAGGAAGGTTGATACTTCCGACAACGGTCAGAAGACCGAGGCGTCTGCTTCCGGGACCGTGGAACCACTCGTGGAACATCCGTCGCCCTCCAAGTCCGAGGGACCGATCGAGATAGCCAGAGAAGCCATCGATTCACCGATCGGAGAAAACAAGGAGGCTCTTGCTCAGAAGTACGTCGTATTTCCATATACATACGTATACAGGGTATTGGGCCACCCTTGGGAAACATTTTAATGGAAGATTCTAGTGGCCAAAATAAGACGAAAATCAAAAATATCCAATTTCTTGATCGAGGCTTCGTTAAAAAGTTAACAAGATTAAATTAAAAAATTTCAAATCGTTCTGGAAAAATTATTTTTAGTTGTGGGAGTCAATTACAATCATTTTTGGTAAATACACATACCCCCGAATTCCTACTCGGTTTCGAGAAAAAAATTCGAGTAGGTACTGAACTTTTTAGATGAAATTAAAATATTTAAAATCACACTAAAAAAATTATATTTAGTTACAGGGGTCAATTACAATCATTTTTTATCATTACGCATAGCCCCGAATTCTTACTCAGTTTTGAGAAAAAAATTCAAATAGATGGACACATTTTTCGACAAAGTTAAAAAATTTTAAATCGTTCTAGAAAAATTATTTTCGTTTGCGGGGTTCAATTACAATCATTTTTGGTGAATACACATACCCCTGAAATCCTACCCATTTTCCAGAAAAAAATTCAAATAGGTGGACAAATTTTTCGACAAAATTAAAAAATTTCAAATCGTTCTGGAAAAATTATTTTCAGTTGCAGGGGTCAATTACAATCATTTTTGGTGAATACACATACTCCCGAAATCCTACGTAATTTCGAGAAAAAAATTCTTTACCGAAAGTATACCGTGTGGCCAGAAATATTTCCCCGAAATTTCATGCATATGTTTAAAAAATCACAACTTCTTCTGGATGGATCGAAGGATTTTAGTGATTCAAATTTTTTAACGAAGCCTTGCTCAACAAATTAGTATTCTTAATTTTCGTCTTTTTTTGGCCTCTGAATCTTCCATTAAAATTTTTCCCAGGGGCGGCCGAACATCCTGTATTTCATTTCAACCGAGTTTCCTTTATTTGATCGTTCTGTATACCGGTCGATTCACCAGAAACAGACTTGTAACAATGAAAGTTTTATTTATTACTCGTTATTCTATTAAAACTCTGTACGAATCGAGAAACGATCTTAGGATTGTGCTGGCCAAGCGTCCTACCAACCCCCACCAGTTCATTAATGTTCGTCGTAATTGAAAATATTTATTTCGTTTCTGGTTGATCGCCCAGTGCAAACCTTACTTATTTCACTATCTAAAAAATGAATCTATATTGACAAAAAAAATATTATAAAATTAACGAACTTTATTTTGAAAGCAATTCACGAAGCAACGAATCGTCGATTTTTTACGTCATTATTTTTATGAAATAGTTTTTTGTAGCTTTCCGTGTTATGCTAAGTAAATAATCATAAATATACATATATTTAACTCCTAATTTTGCTTAGCGTGTAGGAAACCTCGAAACAAGCTTTTCAAGTTGTTCCACCATTTCCTTCGTAATCCTGTATGATTTGTAAATGTCATCCGATCTGATCGAGACGTAGATGTTCTGACTCACATAATTATGAATTCGTTTCAAGAATACGTGACCAATTTTTGGAGTTCCTACGTTTACCAGTATTGTACAGACACAAAGGTTTGATAAATGTTTATTTTAAAATCACGCTTCTGGGCCACAATTAGATGTATTTGCTTGCGTTGCGTGTAACAATCCCTAATTTGAATAAATTACGATAATTGTTTTTCTCTTAACACGTTCACGAGCATCTCTGGGCTGAAAATATTTGACGCCCGAGACTTTTCCTGTTACCCGAGCCATTGTTAAAATAAAATTAAAGTGGCTGAAATAGTTTGTTTACTTAACTCTTTGCACTCCGAATTATATTTCAATTTTGTTACCAGCTGCTTCCAACGCCTTTAAGTGTTTTATTTGAAATTTACCTGTTAAAATATCTGTTTTATTTACACTGTTGTTGCGTTTTCTAATTTTGAAGTGTACGATATCTCTTTGGTTTGGACTTGAAAAAATGTCGACTGGAACTCGACAAAGTAGTTCCTGAGATAAAAATTGCAAAGGGTTAAACATTTCAAAGAATTCTTGTTCAAGTTGCGTTTGAGCAGTTATTATTTTTTAGACTCGAGCACTTACAAGAACTTTGAATACTTGAATGTTGTAGATGGAATGGTTCCGAGCAGTTTATCTACAGAGCAAGCGATAAGTTTGATTTGCAGTAGTCGTGAACGTGTTAAATAACTACTAGAAGCACAGTAAGCTCCTTACCTCACTGTACAAGCTAGTTTTCCCTTTAGGCTGTCGCAGTTACATACGGTGAGCCATGCAAAAGACGTACGATTGAAGGATGAACGAGAGTTGAGGCATACACAGCAAATGTCTTTGTTAGCCCACAAAGATGTTCTAAGTACCTTACCAGCCGAAGCAGCTGCCAAGCTCGTCAATGCAAATTATACACTCTGTATGTATCGTAAGACAAATTTGACGTTCTATGAATATTTCTATTTTCCTTTAACCGTGTCTAATTTTCTGGACACGTTGCTGTAATATTTCCATAGACTTTTAAAGTATCTTTTCAGTGTGTTGTATTTTCTGTGTTCTCGATTACTTGTGCACTTTATGTTATAGTTGCGTTGGAAAAGTTGCAGTAGAGATTTGCTTAGTTTGGAAAGAAACTTGCTTAATTTAGAAAAAAACTAATGTTATTTGCAAGTGCTAGCAAACGTTAATGAATCGAAGAAAAAAAACAATTTAGCAATAACGTTAACGAAATAAATATATTTACAGCTAGGGATGTTCAGAGTCAATCGAGCGTCTTACTGAATTGGCTGTGGGGAAAAAGGTAAGTCTTTAATTTATTATTGATACAAGGAGCGATCAGGTTGTTTTAAAGTTTAAAGCGTCAAGCTGCTCGGGTATATTGAATAATTCGGCTTGGACTACCCGAACATCCCTAATTGGGTGACGTAAAATTTCTTTAAAGCACGCCAAAGGTCATGCACATGTGATGGGACACTAGTGAGAATGAAGTAAACACCATCGTTACGTTCTGGATACATTCCTGCCAAGTGCCAACTGCCAAGACTATATTCCCATCATTAAATTAGACCGAAGAAGATAAACGGAATTACTGTTTAGTAGTATTTCGGCTAGTTTATCGTCGTTGTAAGCGCGTCAGCTTGTGAAAAGCCACACGTAACTTAGTTCCGTCTAAGGGTTTAACGACGTCTGTATTTTTGACGCGGCATTGTTAAACTGTGGTAACGGGAGTCCTGCTTTCCGAGGCTTCTAAAGAGAAAGTCACTCCTCTTAGGCGTAGAAGAGAGTGCGAGGAGAAGACTTTACCGTATTATGTATATTTAAGAAATATGTATATTTCATTTATTTTATTAGTTACGAAACTGTTAATAGCGTAAGATGTTCCTTAAGTATCGTTCCGATATTCAAAGGAAGTATGTTTATTCCGATTATTAATTATATTCCCGATAAACGTTTAGGTAAAATATGTTTGTATAAATTATCTGCGACTTGTCCTCCGTCTGTTGAGAATATTTTTCAAATGTGGCCTGTCGAATGAAAGCGAGAGATTAAAATATCATTTTGGTGGATTACACGATAATCGAAACGCGATGTTGATTATTAAATATTTTATCCGCCGAAAGAAGTGTCGTAATTGTTTGTTGCTTTTTAAACCGTGTTGATTGGAACTTTCTATTTCCACGAAATTTTGTACAGAAATATGAATGCGTCGGTGAATAAATAAATCATAAGACGAAGTATTTGTTCATTGAAAGCGTTTTTATTGTGTGCGTTGCTGCGATGAAATTTGTACGATGAATAAGGTTCTTAGTTATTTTATTTTATATACAACTCTGAACCCATTACAGGTACTACCAAGATTTTATAATTATCATGATTATTTTTAATAGGTATATTCGACATTTCGTTACGTTAAGTCCATTCGTGCGCACGCGACGAGACTAGCAATCTTTTCCCATATATTCATCTTAAAAAACATTTGTTTTCTTTCATAAATTCTATCAATTGTTCGTCATGCGTGCATAAGTTTCACTTTTCAATAATACGAATGTCGTATAAAATAAAGTACGACAAACTTACGGAGCAAGCGGTACTTGGCGATTAGAATCTTTTTTACCCTATCGGGATCATCCTATCGATGGTATAACATTAGCGTATACCATGTGGATTATACATTTCATGATTAGAAATTGAACGAAATTACACGAGATAAGAGTGTTTAAAAAAAGAAGTAAAAAATGATTATTAGAGAGGGTATTAAAGATTCTGTGTTAACTTGGTGTAATATATCTTTACGATAATTAAAAGAGATCTAGGCCTCGTGTAACTCGTTGCATAAATCAATTTATTTCTTCGTGCTTAAAGGTGCTGGTTTGTTCGACGGTTTCTCCCATTTTGGACATGGGAAATGATTCTTCGTTGCTGGTTGTTGCGGAAACAATCGCGTCGTGCCCATTTTGATACTTAAAATTGTCTATGCTACCAGACTTTCCAAACTTGATGGCCAACAGCATAATTACCGCAACAATGAAAATACCAACAATGATAGACATTAGTGCGACGGCCGGGCCAGAATATGGTTGAAATTCATTCCCGTTTGTATAACTCAACGCTAGGGGGTTAGGTTCGTCCCAACTGGTCCAAGTGTTATTCCACAGTGCTGGGTTTGCTCTGGGATCTCCATCCAGATTGCTAGGTGGTATGGCGGTAACTCTGTAGTTCGTTAAAATCCTTTCCAAGATTGCTAAAATTACTGGCCTTTTTTCAGCCAGATTCACCATCTCGCAAGGATCCTTATTTATATTAAATAGGCAGGGTGCTCTCATTGGATTACAAATAATCTACAAAATTATACATTCAATATTTATTCAAGACGATTACTCCTTTATTATGATATTTGTGTCCGATTGGATCGTAGGAGAAAATGATTTTATTATCTACTTGTTTTACCAATTTTATAAAGCGAAGGTAAGATCGTTACTTTATATCATCTCTAGTTTTTAAAGCGTACAATACGCCCGTAAATTTGACTTTAAACTTTGTATATTTAACTTCAAGTTTATTTGGAATTTTTTCAAGATTATTTATCAGTATCAATAGTTAGTATTGATAACATTGCTTTCTATACAAGTGGATGGACATCGTGGATGGACTGTATGGGTAAACATGCTGTACAAATAGCGTAAATATTCTTATAAAAAAGTGCATAATATGTATCATCCTTCCACGAGAAGACACAGCGTGTGTTTACATCCCCCCTCTTGCTGCAATCCGCTGATTGGCTGTCATCGTTTTCGACCAATGCCTGTCAGTCAGCGGACCGCAACAGGAGTGCTGTCTTCTCGTGGAAGAATGGTACTTTGATACGCGGTATTCTGCCATATCACTGACCTTGTCCTCCTCTTTGACATTGCATTTTATTCGCGCTCTTTGTCGCAGTTCCAATACGTTATCGCCGGTGAGTATCTTCTCCCGGAAATTCGTTCTCAAAGCGGCATCGTTGACGTTTCTTACGTTCCGTTTTCTTCTTTCGTTCAGTTCCGTGGCTTGTCTGGCGGTGATAACGCCAGCAATGGCGACGCCCGCTTTGCTCCGCAGCACTTTGTTAAGATCGTATTCGGGAGAAGTACCTTCGGACGGTTCTCCGCTGGCTCCAACCCACGCCCCGCCAGTTTCCGTTTGCCCAATAACGTACTTGAAATCGCCACGTCTGATAGCAGCGTAATTATCGAGGTCGTCGATATTGATCAGTATTTCGGATCTAGAACTGATCTTGTCCGACACCAGAGCCGACCATAGATCAAATCCATCGATGTTCCCCAGGTGTCTCGTATCCACTCCTATAAAAGCGTCGCAAAAGTTATCCTTCTTCGATTCCTCGTCAACCCTCGCGAAACGCGAATGATTTAGGATGGATATAATATTTTCAATATTTTTACCCGCCGCGGAGAGCAACGTAGGGAGCCAATCGGACACGAACATCATCTGATTAGAAACTCTTTTCTTTTTCTTGATCAGGGTACTCCAAATGGCCGCCACCCCTCTGGTCCCGCCCTCCCACGGACTGTCCTTCATCTGAAATATCACGAATGTTTCAGCTCCGAGATCTACGCGCGAGGGTTCTCTGAAGTGTACAAGAAGAATTTACGCCACGAAGAGGATAATTGCTGCCCTGATTGCTCAGCAAACCGTCGGTCGGGGCGCCATTGTCGCTCATGAAAAGCACTATACTGTTTTCTAGCATTCCACGACTCCTCAGGGCGTCCATCACCTCGCCGACGCTCTGGTCTAATTTTGAAACAACGGCTGCAAATGGTCGAGAGTCCTTAAAAGCTAGTTTCAGTGCTACCCCGAAGATTTCAATTGAAATAAAACGAAGACTAAGAAAGACAATCCGGTGCTCGTTGTTTTATTCTTGGTAAGACGTTTCTATATACAGGGTGTTCCCACCTTGGGTAAAATTTTGATGGTAGATTCTAGAGGGCAAAATAAGACGAAAATCAAGAATACCAATTTTTTGTTCGAGGCTTCGTTGAAAAGTTATTCGAGTTTAAAGTAGAGTGTCTCGTGTCGAGTGAGAACCGCTATCATGCGCGCGCAGCTGTTCTACAGGCGTGACTTTAAACGTTAATAACTTTTTAACGAAGCCTTCGTCAACAAATTGCTATTCTTGATTTTCGTCTTATTTTGCTCTCTAGAATCTACCATTAAAATTTCTCCCCGCGGTGATCTGTACATTGTCTTTGTTTTGCAGCATCAAGAGAAGAATAGAAAATTGTGCAGAATCGACTACTTCGTTTGCTCACTGTTCCACGGAGTTCAACGGTTTAAAAATACATTACCAGCTTGGATTCTTCTTTCCGGATCGAGGATGTACGCGAACCTGGCGATATCCTCGTCCGGTGCCCGCAAAAGCTGATTCTGATTACCCTTGTGGGGGGCCAGGTGAGCCAGATATAGGAACATCGGCTGATTCGTGTCGTGTTTGTTGATTAATCGTACCGCTTCTTTCGTGAACAGATCCGTGGAATACTGTCCCGAAGTCTCCCAAGCAACTGTGAGATTTCGTCTCATGTCGAATCCTCTGAAAGTGCTGAATTGCGGATCCTATGGAACACCTAGCTCCAGATTCAAGTAATCCTCGTGACATCGCGCGTTACACTTTTATCACGAACAAAGCGAGTCACCGAACTAAACGGATATATCACTTTGCTTGGACAGAATTAGAAAATATCATCAAATGGCAAGATAGGTAATTTGTTCTAGGTGTTTTATCGAGGTTCGCTCTGTACGCAGTGGTAAACAATGTAAAACGAGATTAATTTATTCTTTGTGAAGTTAGTTTATGGTTTACCGGTTCCTGGGTAAAGTGCGTGTAATAATCTTGAAGCCCGTTCCAATAACCAAAGTGGGAATCGAACCCGCGAAACGTCGGAGTGTATTCTTTTTGGAAAAATCCTAGGTGCCATTTGCCAACGGCGTGTGTTTTGTAGCCTGCTTCTTTCAGGTGCTGCGACAAGGATCATTTTGTTCAGAGCCGGTGAAACGTATAATCGAGGCGTCAAGAAATTCGATCAAAACTCGATAGATGTCACTACTCCGGGTCCGGTCAGGATCACTTATGGAATAGGAGAATCGTTTATCGAATTTGATTGTAGTTTGCTTCGCAAGAAGGATAAACAAAGAGAGAAAAGACTCTCGAGTACAATATTTGATTCAATATTGTGCTAACAAATATTGACCGATTTATATCGTGTTTGGTCTCATTTTAATTAGAAAATCTTTCCCCACACGATAGTAAAATTTTGATTGAAAAAAAGTAAAAAATAAAAAACTTTCTTCTTGTACAGTAGTGTGGTCAGACTGACAGGGACGTTTAAACGAAGATGACGAAGGCAATAAAGATTTTTAAAGAAAGCCGCTACGTCTCCGGTTACACTTCGCCTTGCTGGTTCAAGGGGGATCCCCTAGTGGCGGGGATAAAAATGTATTATTTACTGAACAGCTCTTGAGGACATCTATCGAGTTTTCACTGTACATCGGGCTCCGAATAAAATATTTAGGTTACTTTAAAGATCGTTACGTCGTGGTAGTGTAAAATAGTACTCGGTGGTAGCAATTTAAAAACTTACTTGGGGCAGCAGTTTCTCTTTTAGGGGAAGACCACGCGGTTCGGCTGGAAAAATTACGGAATGTTGCATCCCGAGATGAATTGGATATTTTCCAGTCATTAAGGCGGCTCTGCTTGGCGTGCACAACGCAGGAACGTAATGATTGTTTAAGATGATGCCGTTGTACGCGAGAGCGTCGATGTTTGGCGTGGGAATTTGATCGGATCCGTGAAAGCTTACGTCGTTCCAACCCTATAAGCGATTTCGAACTTTTTCATATTACAAAATAACAATACTTGGAGCAGCCAGCCATAGATACAATTTCTACAGGGAATTGTTAAATATTTATTTTTATTAGATCGTTACGCACCAAACGTGACCAAGCTATGCTATTTCTTACATTCCTTTGAAACTTCGCCAATTCATTGGACGATACTTCGGTGAAATATTTTAATGGGAGATTCTAGACAGCAAAATATGACGAAAATCAAGAATATCAATTTGTTGATCGAGGCTTCGTTAAAAAGTTATTAACGTTCAAAGTTCCGTCCATACTGAATTTTTTTCTCAAAAATACACAGGATTTCGGGGGTATGTCTATTCACCAAAAATGATTGTAACCGATCCTCACAACCGAAAATAATTTTTCCAAAACGATTTGAAATTTTTTAATTTTGTCGAAAAACTTCCCACCTTCTCGAATTTTTTTCTTGAAAGTGCGTAGGATTTGGAAGGTATGTCCATTGACCAAGAATGATTATTATTGACCCCTACAACTGAAAATAATTTTTCTAGAACGATTGAAAATCTTTTAATTTTGTCGAAAAATTTCGCACCTTCTCGAATTTTTTTCTCGAAAATGCGTAAGAATTCGGAGGTATGTCTAATCATAAAAAATGATTGTAATCGACCCCCGCAACCGAAAATAATTTTTCCAGAACGATTTGAAAGTTTTGAATTTAATTGTTAATAACTTTTTAACGAAGCCTCGATCAACAAATTGCTATTCTTGATTTTCGTCTTATTTTGCCCTCCAAAATCTCCCATAAAAATTTTTCCCATTAAAAATTACAATTTTTATTAACGAACGAAAGTGGGCAGAACTGTTTCATATAATCGGGGGCTATTGTATTAAAAAATCTGTTGTCTTTCCTCACCATATCATCAGCAAGAATAACGATGATATGAGGCTTTCGGTTGTTTTCTGGACGACGACGATACTCGTTGTCCCGAAAATCCACGTCTTCATTCTTGAGTTTTATCGCAGTCGGAAGGTTCGTATTCGTGGTCGGTTTGGACAGTAGCGACGAGAAGAAGAAAGCAACAACTTTCGTTACCAGGAATTCTGATAAGATCGACACGGCTAATAGCTGTGTCACGAACGCGACATTCATCTCGAAACCAGCTGAAAGAATCGAGAAAACATAAAAGGTAAATGCGCCAGTAATCGTAGTACCGCCATTTGTAAAATTACCAACCCCGAACAGAGAGGTTAGATTAAATTGCGTACGATCAAGTTGGGAACCCCATTTAAATAAAATTAACAAAACATAATTTACTTTTGTTACTACAAAACTTTAGCTGCTATCGACAAAGATAAATTTAAAAATAAAGTCAAAATAGAAAATCTCACGATCTTTTCAGGCGTTAATTGCTCTATATATGTATAAACCGTAAACTGTCGAATTATAGTGCGTATAATTCGCGCGGTAGAAATGCGGGCTCACCTCGAGACACAATGCTGCACACTTTCTTATTCGCCAGTCAGCCAGAGACTGCGATTCGTGTAATTCAGGTCTAAGCAGCGCGTCCATCTAACCTCGAGATAAGTTTTTGTATTTCAACCATGATCGAACTGGTTGGAGAGGAAGTAATCGGATCCAAGGTACGATTGCCAGGAAGACGAAAATATCGTTAACGTTTTTTTTTAAAACGACCCAATCGTTATGGCTCGTGGTTCGAGGGAGAGTTCTTTTTATTTTTTTAATTTTATTTACGAGACTGTTTCAGCAACACAACCTTATTTATTTCGTAATTTATAACCTAACATACGTACCGTCGAATTGTTAACATATTTATCCTCTAACAAAGGAAATTGTTTTTGAAATCGTAAGGTGTACAAACGAGGAATACAATTTTTCGTAAGGGGATAGTAAATCGACGTTAAGATCAAATGATTTCCCCGCTCTGTTGCGATTATGTATCATCGACACGTTGCTATTGGCAACTGTACTTTGTTTGGTGCAACGCATTACACGATCTTAAGAAGATTTCTATTTTCTCAAGATTCTGTAATAATTAATACAATTTTGTATTAAAACTATTTATTTAATTGGTCATATCGTAACGAGGGTTTATTTATCTATATTATTTATTTCGATTTACAGAAAGAATATTTTAAACAGAAATATAGAAGGCAATATCGCTTGTACTAGTTTCCACCAAAGGAATCTTTATACAATTTAACAACCTAATCATGTTCCTTAACGATCGTGGCGTAAATAACTACGTGATCAAGGTATTTAAAATCCATCAGTTTGCCAACGTTGATATGCTCCGTTTCGTGCTTGTTTATGTCCTTTCCTTGAGATTATTGCGTTTACGTAACCGATTGTCCGCTGTTTCTGCCAACAACAAAGTTCCACGCGATTTCTCTGCATTTAGACACTAGAATTTAGAAAGCGAATCGCGGAGGAGACTGGGAATAATTTGGGCACGGGTATGCATTGGTCATGCTTAATATTGTCACTATAAAACGCCGGTGATTAGTGCAACGTTTCGTTCATTTCCTCTCTAATTGATAGTTTGTACGGTGTTCTTACATTAATCGACGATAAAACGAATAACACTTTTTTAATTCTTGTTTTTTTATTGTATAATATATCGACAATTAATTATAAATTCAACAGGTGTCTCTTATTTTTGTTATAACAATATATTTTAAATACTCCGTTAAGTGAGAATGTCGTGGGAAGAAACAAAAGTTTTGTATAATTAAACGCATTCGTTCCTGCATTACGCGTTGTAGAATTTCATTTTTGAGGCTCGTCTTTGTTTTCCGCTCACGGCAATACGTTGCTCTGAAATATAAAACAGATTATAATAATTACATAATGTCAATTTAACAAATATCGTTAGGTTCGATTAAAAGTTTGAAGGTTTAACATTACATCGAAATTAAGCAATGTGTTTTGCGGCATGATCAGCATGTCATGGACCTGAAAAAAACAGAAGTGTTCCATGAAATGATTACTTTTGTCGTTAAACGGTTTAATTGGCGCTTACCTCTGCGCCCTGCGGCGTTTTCAATGTATAAATCACTCCGTCGGCAATGTCGGTCTCCTTCAATGCCGGCAGATTGTTCAGAATTGCGTCAGATTTAACGATATCTTTCAACATGTCTGTTAAAACAGCTCCAGGGCTGACGATCTGTATAATTACGAAACACAAACACAGTTAGAACACTCGAGATATCGGTAGTTTTCGAATTTTGTTAAAGTCGCCATTCGAGATAACTGGTAGGTTTCAACAAAGATTCTCTATTTCATTAAATGCCTTTAAAATAAAAATCTTAAGAATCTGTGAATAAAAATTTTCGTTTATAAAAACGAGCGCTCGAATAAGCCAAGTATCGTCCACCCCCTTGAAATTAAAAATCTGTCGCGTTTAATATTTTTAACAAGAATGTATCGTCTTCGAAATAACCCAGACCTTTCTCTTTCGAACGAGACCTCAAAAGCTGTTCATATAAGGGCAAAATCTCTTATTTCGTGAACCCATATTTCGGGGCAAATTTTGTCGGTATACAGCGCGCTGCATTACCCGAATTTAGAAAATCAAATCTCACCGTTATTTTAATGTTCAGCTTGTTGTATATTATTTCGTGACGTAGTTCCGTGGTCAATGCGTTTAATGCATATTTGCTAGCGCAATACATCCCCATCGGTATTTTTACGCATTCTGCGTGTCGTCCGGCCAGGCTGTAAATTGTATACGCTGTTATATAATTTCTTGCAATGATTGATACATGTATAGCTGCTGCTAATACGCCTTTACGCAACCCACGATGTATATCGAATGCAAACAATCTTGCTATTTGCGCGGAATCAAACGCAACAAAAATGCATACACGTTGAGTCTACGATGCTTCGAGATAAAATATTAAACTGTATAGAAATTAATATTATTAGCTTTCATATTATCAAATTATCAAAAAAAAAAAAGTTTTTTCCTTTAATATTGCGAGTTGTAATAATAAAAAAAATTAACAATGTTATTCGTTGCTATGTACCTGCTGATATTAATTATATGCCCGGCGCCATTGCGTTCTTTGATAGATTGTATAAATTCACGGGCGCAAATCGCTGGAGCTATGACGTTAATATCTATTATTTTACGGTACTCCTCGGTGGGCGTATCTGCAACAGAAAATTACATTTCCTAAAATCCACAAAAAACAAAATATTTCAAAGTTAATATCATACGCTACAAAAGTCGCCAATGATTATGAATTTTAACGTATAATTTGTAGATAAATACCACAGGGACGCGGAAATTAAAAACAAAGTAAAAATTAACTTCACGGTCACGGTTTCCACCAATGAAGATTTTCTTCGGGCCGATATAGTCAACGTTTAATTGACCGAGGCTAATAGAAGCTGACTCATCACGGAAAACAACACTTAATGGAAAAAAAATGATGTATCATGTTGCAATTGCATTCAGTAGTAAAAGGTTTCACGATTATTAAAATTGCTACCAGGATGTTCACGATACAACGAAGCGCGAAAAATTACGACGAAGGTAATCTGAAAAATATATTTTAAAATTAATCTTCGAACATTTATCATATATATAATATTCTTTTTGTTTTGTTTAATATTCCTCTCAAAGCAAGAATACGGTAATTACACAAAAATTACGATTTATTTGCTCGATCGAAGCCACGTGAAAAAGATCGAGAATTGATTCGTAGATTTACTGCTCTAAATATGTACCGAGTCGAAAATGAAAGAACCGGTTTCGCCTAGTTGATCGACATTGACCTTCTTTTTCGAATGTAATCGTAAATTCTTTGGTGAAAATGAAGGTCGCCGCGCGATGGTCAACGATCGCTGCAACTTTTATCAACATGTACCGTTCTCGTCGTTGCACACGCCCCTGCACGTATATTATAGTACGTAACGAACTTGTCAGACGAGATCTTGGCGAGTTTCTGCCCTCCAAGACTGTACACTTTATTTCAATACAAATTTTCATACGCGGAAATTTATGCAAGCTGGAAATATTTCTTTATCACGGTCAGGATTTTTTTGAGGTTAGGAAATTGTTAACGATATTGTCGGCCTCGTCTGATCCTCTAATAAACAGTTGCAGAGTGTCTCGTAAAAAGAAACATAACGCACTACCATTGAAAGTGGAAAATTTATTGTAATTAAACGATCACGAAATTGACAACTCGTCCGACGAAAATACTGTTTCGATCGTTAATGAAGAATTTAGCTTTATAAGCCACGAAAACTAATTTATGTTGCTTCTTTTTATTTTTTTGAAACAGAATTATAATGTTTATTACTAATTTTTATAAAAAATAGATATTAAAAAGAAAAGTATGTATATTCATTGTTGCACATAAAAAACAATCTTTCTATTCGCGACACTGTTCGTGTGTGCAGATTGCAACACGTTCTTCCGTATTCTCAGATCGTTTTTTGTTATGTCGCGAAATTATTTATCTCGTCTCAGTGTTGATGTACAAATAATTTCAAGCACGTAGCTTTTCGCCACGTAATCTTTCGTGATTTGAAAAACAAATATTTTTAAAAATAATAGAGCATGATTGTAAAGTAGAGGTTGCTGGGGTCTTATCGACTGTTATCAGATATTTCGATTCGATAAACATGTAACGATAACGTATAAACTGTAATGTTTATATTGTACCGTGACTTGCTTGAAATTTTGCAATCGAATATGTTATTACAATGTTTAATTCCCAAACCTATAGAGTGTTTTCGATAATCTGTACTAACGTTTCTTTTCGTAAACGGTAAACATTAAAAAGAAAAAAAAGAAGAGGAAGTTTTAGTATATTTTACAGGCAATACGATAGCGAACGCTCGTACGATTAGAGGAATTCGCATTGGACACGATATGCCTGTCCCGTTGCTACAACGTGCTAGTAAACACAATATTACGAAATGTCAAATGTATTTATTTTATTTCTGTCTTTGTGTTACCCTAAAGACCATAGTATACTACATGGCTGAACTCACCTTAACGTACGCTTTCAACACGAGGTATACCAAATATTAAAAAATATACTACAACTTCCTCCTCTTTCGTTTTTCGTTTCTAATGTTCACCGTTTACGAGAAAAACACCGGTGCAAATTATCGCGAACACCCTGTATACAAGTACACGATCAAGGTTACAGTTGTAAAGGAACAGAAGTAACGTGAATCGACTGTGTCTTCGATAAAACAGACCCATCTCCCTGCAGCTTCTGTGACGATACATTTGCTAACAAATCATATTTAATACCAACGCAAAGGATTCGACCAGCAAAGACTATGGAATTAATATGAGAAATTCTGATTGATAATTATTACGTATGAAATAACAGCGCTGTACAGACGATAGATGTCGTTTAAAAAAAAAAGAAAACATGTAAATATAAAACGTAAAATCGTGTACCAATGATGCTCGTTTGCGTGGCTACGCCGGCATTGTTGACAAGGATGTCAGCGCCACCAAATTTCTTTTTAGTCCACTCGAAGGCCTTCAGGATGTCCTCCTCTTTTCTGACATCGCACACGATCGAGTGGAACATGCCTTTCTTCAAACCACCGGCCACCTCCTGAAGCTTCTCCATCCTTCTCGCGAGACCAACCACTTTAACATCGTTGTCCACGAGGGATCTAGCGATCGCTGCACCGATACCGGTGCTCGCGCCAGTCACGATCGCCACTTTTCCAGCCCAGCGTTCCATCGTTCGCGATATCGTTTTACAAACTGAGTCGTCCGCGCGATCTTTCAAGCATTATATACGATAAACTTGTTCCTCTTGCTGCCGGGAACAACCAATCAGCGCCGTGCGTGTTCTATCGCAAGATTACTTCATTCAACGGGACTTCTCGAACAGGAATAATTGACGGGAAGCGTTCAATTCATCCTCCATCGCGAGTCACCTGCTAACGCATCGGTGCAAGTATTTTTTTAAGTTAGAATGAATCGTGGTTGGCGGGATGAGAAGTGTCCGAATAGGTAAATCCAAGATCCCCGGGTTCGATTCTCGTTCAAGCGACACGATGATTTTTTTTTTCTATCGTACAAGCTTATTGCTTATTACGTTCACAGTGTAAGTACGTAGGATGATAATTGCCACAATTTTCTAGGTTTTAGTTTTTAGTATTTGATGTTTGCACCTACCATTCGTTGTCTTCTCTCGATGGTGTGGTTTTCTGCCTTGTTGTTATCCCTGAAAGTTGAACTACTTTTTTTGTTTTGGTTTTTCTTTCGCCTTTGTTTTTTTTGGCGATGCGTTTTCGGATTATTTTAGATTTAAATGTAAATTAAAGAAGCTAAAGCAAACGTAGAAAATGTAAGAATGTAATGTAAAACACCTTTTGATGACACTAGTATCTTTCGTGAAAGTTATTTTAAATTAATTATGAAGTACTTTGACATCGCGTTGAATTTTGAGAAATGAGAAATAAACTTAATCAGTTTGTTTTAGAAATAAAATATTGTATTGTTTAGCGTATCTAGTTTTGGGGTTGAAATGATCCAGCCGCTCTCAAGTTGTCAGTCCACCTTTGTTTCCATAATAAGTTCTCTGTACATACAGCATGCGTGTTGGCAATGAATGACAAGGCTCTGTTTTTAAAATTGATTTTTATTGTCGCACCTAATACGCATTATTATTTGATTCTTCTATCCTCGTCCGCTAAACGTTCCTCTAAGAGTTAAAACATATTTCGCGTTTCTCGTTGGCAAATACATACACTTTTAAATAAAACGCACCGACTCGTCCCTCTCGCGACACGTTTCACGCCGCTTAACGTACATTCACATCCAATAGGAATTTAAAACAGCTTTTAATCGTATTTATCATACACATCACTTCGTTTGTACTTAAAAAGTAGGTTTCGTCGGGATGGTTTGTTCGCATAACCACTAGGTTCGGATATAATCGCGTGAAAAGGTTGAAATGAGACACCCTGTACAACCGGTGACGCAAACTCGTGCCAGCCGAGGAGAATATAGTTCGTTTGACGTTACTTCACCCTTGTACGCGATCGAGGCGATTATCTGCTCAAAAATTTCGATTATTATTTCTTTTGGAACGTTCTAATATTTAGGATTTGTAGATTTATAGATCCCTTTTCCTGAAAGCCTCTTCGATCGTAGAATTAAATAATGTATAGACGGAAATTTAATCGCTCGATAGAACAAACGTCACGGTTTAAATTCCTATACGTTAATAATTATTTAAATAAAATTGTTCTCCGATAGGTGACGCGATATTTCTACTTTGTTACACGACTGTAAACGCCTCGACGCGCGCAACAAGGTTTGTACCGTTTACAAAGATGAACCCACGTCCTCGCCTTAAACTTCGACGAACGTTTTTCTCGAGCCTCGACGATGAAATAATTCGTGTTTTACGTGCACACGTTCGCTTAAAGTATCGTAGATTGGTCGACCAAGAAGACGGACTTTTCCTCGAGTTTCCCCGACGAGATTGTAATTCCATTTCGAACCATCGTCGGTTCCTCTCACGTGCCATTAGGGTTCGCGTTGTAATAGTTTATGCGTTCGCTTCTTTTCAGATAGGCGTACCAATAAAACACGTTTATCGCGAGAAAGAACAGAGGGAAAACGACTCGACTGACGCGATCGATCTTCGAAACCGAGTTGTACCTCGGCGTTCTCCTGCGTCGTCTCCTTCCGGTCGCCGTTTTCACGATTGGCGGCGGCCTGACCGGGGGCGGAGGGGTGCAGGCCACGCAGGACATCTGCCAATGGCCGATTCCAGGATCCCTGCTGGGCGCTGGGATCGCGGACAACGGTATCACCTCGATCAAACCGGCTTCGTTCATCGTAAAATTTTGGCTCGGTCGCGCCCTCTCCGTTGGGCTGCTCGAACGTTTCTTGTGAACCTGCGCCATCTGCAATCGAGTTCCCGGTTCCGTTCAGCCAGTTATTCGCAACAAGTTTCGGTAATTATTTACTTCAGAGGCCTCGACTTCGATTTTCATGATCTTTAAATACGTTATAAAAAATAAAATTCCGAACAATTTTTTCCTATACGTATAACCACTGCCTTGATTCCTTAAAATTAAAATTCCGTAAAATTCCTTACGTGCTGCTACATTTAATTCTGCCTATCGACGTATATGTCAACGTTGGTTCAATGATTTTGAATGGTGATCGCACGAGCGGCCGTCTCAGGGCAGGAATAACCTCGCTGGGTGGTATGTGCGCGATAAGATCAAATCTATTCGATTTGAACAGTTTTGAATATCAATGTGCATGGCCAGTCACGAACCGATGGATTAGGTCTCAAATAACCCTTGTCTTTCGTTTATAATACATCAGATAAGCGGTTAGCCAACGCTGACGCACAAATACATATGCGAAGGTAGAATTCGATCTGTTTTAGGTTCACCTTATGTTCACCTCAGCACAAATTTTTTACAATGATAGTGCATACCATTCCAGACATATGCGAGGAGTTGTTACGAAAAGTAGCAACTTTCATACACGGTAGAGTCCCGAACGTTCAATTATATTCCGTGAATTTCAACAATTCAAACAACCGAGAAGAATATTTTTAAATTGTGTTCTACGCGATGGTTATCGCATAATAATCCGTAATTACACTTTTAGAGAATCGGGGCGCTGTGTTGCTATTATTGCAAGAATTTAAAGCGAGAAATCAGAGTCCGGGGAACGTTTGTCAATCTCGGTGCAAAATCCAGAGGCCAAAGCATATCTTTGTTTCTAAATTACGCTCTTGTATTTTTTTTTTTATAAATTTAGCATTTTCTTTCAAACTTAAGAGACAAACTTAAGAATTCATTTGCATCAAAAGAGATTGTTCTCTCCAGAGAAAAAACTCTTTAGTAAATTCGTGCTATTAGGTTGCAATTACAGTGTAAATGTTTTCATGTAACGCGACGTTGCGGTAGACTGGCCTTGTTACGTCAACGGTACCGCGACAAGATGTGATACGTGTGCAATAATGTCACGCAAAAGCGCTTACACTGCAACCGCAGTCTTGTTAGCGATATTCCAAATATTTTTTTTTCGAACATCGCTAATACGTAAACAGTCGTCCAAATTGTCTCGCGTTGTTACTTTTTTTTATGTATTTCGCTTGCTGTAAATACTATTCTACCTGCTCTGACTATCATTTTGCTGTAGTTAGTGAAGTTGCTTGTTGTAGATAGTGTGACCATGACGTAAAATGTCACGCCTTATTACACTTACGTCGCGGTATCATAAGAGCAACGATGCATGACATAACGTGCCACTTAATTGCAAACGTCCTATCCCGACATCCTATCCTTTGGAAATCTAAACAATTATATCATTTTTCCATTTTTATGGCTCGTGTGGGTATTAATAAAAATTAATATATTCGCGAGTTCGTTTTTCATTATACAGGGTGTTCGGCCACCTCTGGGAAAAATTTTAATGCAGGATTCTAGAGGCCAAAATAAGACGAAAATCAAGAATAGCAATTTGTTGATGGAGGCTTCGTTAAAAAGTTATTAACAATTAAATTCAAAAATTTCAAATCGTTCTGGAAAAATTATTTTCGGTTGCGGGGATCAATTACAATCATTTTTGGTGAATACATATACCTCCGAAATCCTATTTATTTTCGAGAAAAAAAATCGAGTAGGTGTTGACATTTTTCGGCGAAAAAAAAATTTTTCAAATCGTTCTAAAAAAATTATTTTCAATCGTGGGGGTCAATTACAATTACTTTTGGTCATTACACATACTTTCGAAATCCTATCCATTTTCGAGAAAAAAAATCGAGAAGATGTGAAATTTTTCGACGGAAAAAAAAAATTTCAAATCGATCTGGAAAAATTATTTTCAATCGTGGGGGTCAATTACAATCACTTTTGGTCATTACACATACTTTCGAAATCCTATCCATTTTCGAGAAAAAAATCGAAAAGATGTGAAATTTTTCGACGGAAAAAAAAAATTTCAAATCGTTCTGGAAAAATTATTTTCAATCGTGGGGGTCAATTACAATCACTTTTGGTCATTACACATACTTTCGAAATCCTATCCATTTTCGAGAAAAAAATCGAAAAGATGTGAAATTTTTCGACGGAAAAAAAAAATTTCAAATCGTTCTGGAAAAATTATTTTCGGTTACGGGGGTCAATTGCAATCATTTTTGGTGAATAGACATAACCCCGAAATCTTGCGCATTTTCGAGAAAAAAATTCAATACTGACGGAACTTTAAACGTTAATAACTTTTTAACGAAGCCTTCATCAACAAATTTCTTTTTCTTTTAATAGCCACGATATGATTCGGGGGGGTTCTAAAACGTGTAATTCTGCTAAAAGAAATTTTCGAAATCGATTATCGCGAGGTCGTATTCCAGCTATTTCTCTTTTACACGAGCAAGAAGGAAAGGCTAACACTATTTCCGGAATTATTACACGTGGCTCGTGCGGTAGTATACATATGTCTGCTATCCCCACCACTCTGTTAAACGCTAAGGAAGTTCGTCGTCGCTATTGTCGATTTCGATGCGCTCAATTATGCCTGATCTGGCCACACTCTTCCTTTATTGTCCAGCGAGGACGCCAAGAGTGCCTCGGGATAAATCCCCTAGTGCATCTCTCAACTGCGCCATCTGCAGGGGTAACCAGAGAGTTACAATACGCTCCCTACATATTACATCAGTCGCCAGTCGCTGCGTTGATGTTTATACTAGAAGTTTATAATAACGCGTGTGTATAGGCAGAATTTAATGCGACAGCACGGAAGGAATTTTGCAAATATCTCGGAAACCAAGGCAGTACGGTGGTTCTATGCATCGAAGAAAGTCGTTCAGAATCTTATCTTCTGCGACATATTTCAAAACCACGAAAATCGTAGTTGGGGCCCCTAAAGTATACAATTACCAATATCAATTTAATAACGTAAATAACAGGTAGCTATCAGCCATTTACTGGTCACTTGCCTGCACATTGTTTTAAAAGAACCTGTTAATGGTGTCTAATTTATGAGCGAATTCACCAACGAAACCGTAAATGGATCTAAAATTTTTATCAATAAAATTCGCGACTAAATTTCCCAATAGACCACGACGAGTCGAGGATCGGTGTTAATTATTCTTTGGTCTCGAACGAAATATAATTAATCACCGAAGAGGGTGGTTGATATTTCGAAAGTAGAGCGAGTATGGTCAGAACATAGACGAGTCATGTTTTAGCAAGGTCTTGTTCCAGAAACGACTGAAATCCGCTTCCGATACCGGTCCTCCTCTCGTTTAACGTACGAGATCTCGGATTTATAATTTCCATTCGTTTCCGTACACTTCCTCTTTGTATTCTCTCCTCCATGGGGAATTAATGCACGACGGACTCCTTATATGCAATTCTTATTCGCGTTAAATCGGATTCACTGGCGGAGGAGCGTAGTGCCCGTGGCGAGCGTGCAACCTAACCTTGTTTCCGAATGTAGAACGATGCGTGAAAGCAAAAAAAGGGCAAGAATTTCACTGGGAAATAATCGTGACTCGGTGCCAAAACGGAAAAACGGAAGAAACAACAAGATCGTCGCCGTCGTTTCCGCGGCATCACGATTACGCAACGCTCCTCGGTTTCTGGATCGTCCCTTTTGCTAAGAAGAATAACCAGGTTGTCGGGTCGAAGACCGAGGCTGTCTTTGGCGATTTATCTTTCGAGGTAAAAATGAAACAAAAATATTAAGCTCCAAGTTACGTTTCGCAAAATTGTGGCTTTCAAATTTTCATCAAGTTTTAGCATTTTAAAGTTGAAAAATCATGTATTCGACGTACGTAACTTAAACGATAAAATAAAATGAATACATCTAAGACGGGGGATGGGAAAATTTTGATTGCTATAATAAACAATGAATAAAAGCACAGTATTTTTTCAGATAATTCATAATTCCACTTACGAGTATTATTTAAGATTACAAAATTATGTATCTTTTATTTATTCTTCGAGATTTTTTATTTTGATAAGAATTTTTACTATTTTTGATTTATATTATTGTCTGTACTTTGAAATGTTATTTAGTGATGATATTCTGTAAAAATAGAATTTTTACGTTTTAGAAGACTGTGCAACGGGGTCGACGTATGGCGGACAATGGCGATCGTATGAAAAATATCGGGATTTCAGAGTGGAGGAAATAAATAGTGAAAATTACCGGCTCGATCTTCGGTGGTCGTGCAGTCGGTTCCTCTTCGTCGCTGGAACTCTCGCTCTCGCTCATGTCGGAGCCGAAATAACACTCCCCGGAACCGTACTTGGTGAAGTAGTGGACCACCGCGAATTGTATAATGGTGGCGAAAATGAACGCGAACGAGAGAAAGACGAAGAAGTCTAGGGCAGTGGGGTAAGGAACTTTTGGCAGATCGGTACGGGCCTCCAATCCCAAAAATGTCATCGTCAACACGGTTGTTATCCCTTGAACAAATTCGTACACCCCGCTTTCGTCTCGTTACGAACAAACAAAGAGAATTTGCAAAATTTAATCATCTCGATTTCCTCCTCGCGGTACAACATTAATCGATGGGTCTTATCGAGGAAAAATTTTAACGAGAGATTCTGGAGGCCAAAATAAGACGAAAATCAAGAATAGCAATTTCTTGATCGAGGCTTCGTTAACAAGTTATTAACGTTTAAAGTCACGCCTGTAGAACAGCTGCGCGCGCACGATAGCGGTTCTCACTCAACGCGAGAAACTATCATGCGCGTGCAGCTGTTCTACAGGCGTAACTTTAAACGTGAATAACTTTTCAACGAAGCCTCGATCAACAAATTGCTATTCTTGATTTTCACCTTATTTTGGCCTCTAGAATCATCCATTAAAATTGTTCCCCGATGTAACGACGATTCGGTTAAAAGGATATCTAGCATAAATCTAGGTTGTTGGAAACTTACCGAGCGACACGCGATCAGCGGTGGCTTCTCGATTTAACCAAAAGGAGACCCAGGATAGAACCACCAGCAAAACACAGGGTCCGTATACTTGTATGAGAAAATTTCCCATGTGCCTTTGTAGATGAAAGTACACCAGCAACATCGAGTAATCGGCTAGAATCAGACGATACCTACGTGTGTTTATGCAAACTTGTTTTATTTATTTAATTACGTTCGTTTGAACTACAACGAGAGAAGAAGTATATTGGACAAATTCGTGTACACTGGGCAGGGTAAACCATGTTAAAGGGCGAGACTCAGCGAATTTTCTAAAGCTGATTTCGAACGTAATCCTAAATTAATCCCTGATGTGGGTTCCAGACATTACGGGCACTGCTCCTATGTTCTTCCAACTTTTATCAATATTTCTGTCTTCCGGCTTCCCCTTCGTTACACGTTATTAACTGTGTATTCCATACGAAGTTCTAATTTGAATATGTTGTAGTCTTTAGTGATATATGTATAAACGTATCTCCAAGGATTTTTAAAAATTAAAAAAATTGCTTTTACTTTTCTTTTTCAATAAATAATAGCTGCTAAAGTAAGAAAGTTATAAAAATGAGACTTTAGGTACTTCTAGTAGATACATGGGAGTACCGAGTAAAAATTATTTCAATTAAAAAAATTTTTTTTGACTATTTTGCAATTGTTTACAACAAATGTCATTTTTTTATAGCGGGGAAATATTTAAAAATCTGCAAAAAAATGGGCATATAGTCCCGTTTGTCCCCTTTACGGACCAAGTTTTAAAAATACGGACACTTTAAAATTGGCCTTATTGTCGATCGGTTTGTTATATAATACAAATAAAATACTGTATCGTTTGTCTATTTTGGAATTAGTAAATGATAATCTGCTCCGAAACTCGTCAATCCGGCACCAGAGTGTCGCCCGAACGGCGGTGCCATTTTATATCGTTCTTTCGTGTTGGGGGGGGGGTGGGGAGGGGGTTTAAATACTCCGACAAACGGGTTCTAGTGCAATCACGAGCAGTTGTCACGAGGCTTGTTTGCGGAGTATTAATCGATGCTAATCCAATTAAAAAGTCGGTCTTCGCGACTCAACGTCTTCCCTGACAAGCGACGGTACAATGGAAATACGAGTGGAAAAGGGGGCTTCCCCGGCGTAGGATGCTGCAATTAGTCGTCGTTTCTCTCGCTGCCAACTTTCGACGCGCGGAGAACTCGTGTCCCTCGTTTTCCTCGCCCTCTTCGATATACATCAGCCACTTCCGGGACGCCTCGTTCTTCCTCCCACCGCTTCCGGGACGCATCCATTTCTTCGCGCCAATATTCCCCGAGAATCCGTAACTGGCAAAACTTTCAAATCGAGCTTTTCTCTAGGAGTTATCAGAGTGTGTACCGTTCCTCTCTTTCACGCTTTTCCACCATTCTCTGATCTGTTTTACATTCATCGACACTCCTTTTTTTGCCGCCAACTTTTTCATGCGACGCAGGGGGCGCCCCTTTCACTTTTCTTTGAGTCTGTTCTCCTCCAACCACCGTGAATTTTGCTGGTTATATTAATTAATTAATGTGTACAAGGATGATATGTTATTACCAGACTGCGAATGTTTATGCATTTATGGGAAATTTTAATCCTCAGAAAACTACAGAATGCATTTAATAGGCAAAAATATAAGGAATACTTAAAGTAAGATACGAATTATTATATTTACTCGCATTTCATTAATTCCATTGATAAAAATATGAATGTGCATAAAGATCCGCAGTCTAGTTATTAAAATGAAATCGAACAAAATGTTAAAAAGAAATTGTTCATTTTATATAAAATAAGTAAATAATATTAAAAACTAATATTAAAGACTAATCGTAAGGTTTCTCGTCGTAAATAGGAATAGACTTACCGTGCGCAGGTGTCGGCAATGCGGAGTAATTCGCTGTCGGATTCGCGACGAGATCAAATTGCGATAATTTCATGTCCTCGGCGATTGCAACTTGTCTCGCGCTGTTCCACGTGTAGATCACGTCCCGCTTCGTGTAACCGACTGCAATCAAGAGAATATTTCTTGCACGGGTGTCGCAGGGGTGTCGTAAGGGGCGTCGAAATTCGCTAGCGTCACTTTTCTTCTTCGATGGAAAGTTACTCGGGGGAGCCCCGTATTTGTCACGGTTCCTAAATCTACACGTTCCACAGTAAAGACAATTTTTAACCCTCGAATGGCGCCGTTTATTATAATAATATCGAACCTGATTCAAATTGTTCAGAATTTTTAAACGAAGGACAATGTTAATATTCTATACTTCTTTTTCTTTTATAAGGAATCACCTGGTTGTATAATAGTCGATGCAAAAAATGGTGTACATTTTTAATTACGTGGCAGGGATTTATCCGTTGAACCGGTGCTTCTTAATCTTTTCAAAGCTCGACCCAAATTGCACCGTAAAATGTTTCGTTAAAATGCTCGACTTTATTAATGGATACTTGATATTGTACAAAGTGTTGCATTTTATTCTACGAATTAATTATTTAAATTCAACGTATGCTTTCGATTACTGCTTTTTTTTGTTAAGAAACACTATATGGGGCGATATTAACTTTCACGAGTCTCATGAAACAATGTGTGCATTAGTTTATCGAGCAAAATGGTAATAATATTTAATTTCAAATTGGAAACGTACAGCTACCAAATTGCAGTGGGCATCTCTGCGTGTCCATCGGGAAATTTTCGAGATTCATTGGGCATCCAGCCTTGATTGTGAGCCTGTAATCAAACATATCATTACAATTAGTAAGAAAGCAAGCCCAGATCGATACGATGTTCCAATCATTTTAGCGGAATTGATTCGATTTATTTTTAAAACAGAGAAGCAACGTTTCTAATTCAAGAAACGTTAATCGCGACTTTTTTGCTTGTAAATGTTTACAATTTTGTTTAAAACACCTATTAACAATTTATGTACTTTTTTTATGTTGTAGTGACTGCAAATTACTGCAATTGGTTCGCGTTTATAAAAGCAACACGTGCGTCGTTCTAATTCGATTTCCGCCAACATTTTCCAGGGAAATCGAGCACGTATCCATTAGGCTCATCCATCTGTTCGACATGGTCCTCCGATGGAGCCGACTAACGCCTGTCATTCGCCGTCGATGTCCAGTGCCGGGGGTTGGCAAACATAATGACAGTTACGTGCTAAATTCGACCGTTTCCAAATCACCAAAATATTCGACTCGCACGTGTTGTCCGCCACGTGTTGAGGTCCATTTATACTCGTGCAAAATATACCGAGCAAAACAACTGGCATCGTCGAACCACGAATATTATTAATATTTTTAAAACGTTACAATTTACCGACACGAGAACCGTTCTCGCGTGTTTCGAGATTAAACCCCTCGATGCTTGTATATTTTCCAAATTTACCATCCAAAATACACAACTTCTCTTCGTGTGCATTAATGTGTGTTTTGTTGGGCGTTGCAACATATCGTTTTACGATTTTAGTCACGCACAATAACGTGTACAATTCACCGATAAGAAATGAAAGATGTAAACTTATACAAAAGAAAGTATCGTATAAAGGACAGAAACTTTCAGTCTCCTCGAATTTGTCCATATTTTCATGCCTATTGTTTGCAATAATTATTAATTAACATCAGGCAATAGCTAAAATAATGCTCGATAGCGTGGGTTGTATAAATAATTGTTTTTAATACCATTTTGCTTAGAATATTCATTTTTCGGTCAAAGGCACGGTTAATTGTTAATTGATTGGCGAACACGCCAAGGACGGTCATCCCCACTCCTCTAAGTCTTCTGCCTGAGGCTCACTGCCACTGACTCTCTCTCTCTCTCCCTCTCTTTCTCCTCTGGGCTGCCGGACGTGGCGGAACGTCGAGCTCTGCGCTCCACTTCCACTTTCACTGACCACTACTGTACTACTGGCGACCTCTGGGGACCACTACTGACCACGCCTGAGAACTCGTGGGAACTGTTGACCACTACTGACCACTACTGAGTGCTGAAATACCGCGTGTAACCATATGTCAACAAGTAGTAAGTCCATTCCACTCATTTATATGGATCAGTAAAAAATTTGTTTGTTTCTTTTATTCGATTGTACAGTGTCAATTGAATTTTCTCTGTCTATTCATTATTATAGATGTTTCTTTCGTCTTTCCCGACATTTCACATCAACATCGAGTGAAAATGGTACTGAACCACCGTGTTGGTTCATTTTCATATCTGTTCCTACAATATTTCGTGAATTTTAATAACATCGATGGGAATATGATTTTCAATTTTGTCTTATTACTCGAATTCTCGTAACATTTCACAGAGATACTTTGTTCAGTTGTTTGGTACTTTCTTTTGAGGTTATCTGTGGAATTGTTTCGACGTTTCAACTACATATGTGATGATTTTACCTAATGAGAAATTACTTGTTGCATAAAATGTGTTAGAGACCTTACTTATCGGCCTCTGAGAACTATTAATTAAAGACCGAAAGAGTTGTGTATGGATTATTAATTATATATAGTGTTTGTTATTCTGTGATTTTAATTTTAACCAAAAACCTACAAACTTCAACAAAATGTGTTGAATCGTTATCTATGTAGATCGTTATTATTTTTCGATTATTCAGAATTTTTATTCTGTTTGTTCGGTTAATTATAATTTTTATTTTGTCGATATTTCTGAATAATTTGATTTGTGATTTATCACCATTTTCACTGTCTCGTTATGTGTCCATTTTGTACATTTCTTTAGGTTTGAATATTTCTAAATTTCGTAGCTTCTCCAGCTTATAGATTCTCATCTACTCCACTGCATTCCTCGATACATCGGTTCTCTAATTGCTTAGTTTCTTTAATATAATACTAATATAGGTATGTGTTTTTGTTTTAGGTTAGATCTATTACAGATCAATTGCAAGGACATCGAATCAATCTACCCTAACCTGTACAAATCTATGTAAAATGTAAGGAGATAGTGTCGCCAAAAAAAACAAATCAAAAGTAGTTCTTTAAACATTTTTATTTCATTTCAAATACGCTCTCTGTAAAATCCCCTCGATGCGCAAAACATCGACTCCTAAGAGGTTATTAAATAGCTTGTTTAGCTTTTTATGGGAGCTATGAAGGTGTCTGAAAGATAGGTATAGGTTATAAGTTAGAACGTAACGTTTATTGAATCTTATCGAACGAAGAGGTTTCTTGCTATAAAAGAATCGACTGTTTGCACGTTTCGAACCGAAAGAACTGGCGCGTTCACTCGCTTTCTTCAATTTTCGTACGACCGTGTCTCCCAAGTCTGCATATTGCAGGCCCACGTATACGAGCTACGTATACACGCATCAAGGCTGGTGAAAATCAGCTGGAGTTTGACCGAGTTATCGTTGCTGGCAATGCACGGTTGAACTCTATCGGATAAGTAAGTTAGAGAGTACGAAATACGAGACGATCCGTGACTAATCGGATCCATCATCCTGGCACTCTCGATCGGTCAATTTGTAGAAGGGACACGTTACATTTACCATCGACCATATCGCGCCACGGATTAACCTCCAAATCTGCTGAACGGGCCGTTTTCCTCGCGAACTTCGGATTACTAAAATTTCCCTGCATCGGCAAGATTTATCGATGCATTTCGTGGTAGATATCACTTGGACATCCGAAGCAGCCGTTGTTAAGGGCGATTGTAGAGACCAGATTTAGCTGTAACAAGGACGCGACCGTTCCCGCCATTTTGATAATTAATCGTTTCCGTGTACTTCGATTAAACCTCGATGGGGGGGCTTTTCATGATTCCTAACCTATCACTTTATCGTCCAAGTATTTCGAAACCTTATTTTTCACCTGACGTACACTCTCAGCCAAAAAGATAAAACCTCAAATAATAAAAATATTCATATCAGACATTAAGTTCTGAAAATAATGTAACATAGTATTTAGATCATAGACATAGTATTTAAACGCGAAACGTGGATTATTTTCAGTTACAGAGGATCTTCAGTGATCGTCAACCTCTTAAGATTTTATTTCGAGGTTGCATTCCTTCTTCAGACATATACGTCATGCTGCCTAGTCATTGGAATAAGGATTTGCTGAAATTGCAAACCTACATTCCAACAGTTCGATACGCGAATTACTATATAGAGCGAAATGTCGCCACTGGATTTTCCTAGTAGGAACTAAGAGTTTCAATTTACCTGAAACTATATCCACTATACAGGGTGATTCTAAAAACTAGGTCAAGCTCTTTTCCAAGCGAATATGCAAACGATTGATATGGTCAAAGTTAAATCCTACAACGAGGACTTTGATAATATCATTCTTTTTTCTTTTAATGAAGCTACACTTGTTTTACAGAAATGAATTCTTCTCGTAATTGTGCATGTAGCATCAAAGCACGATCACGACAGACGTAATGCTTTTACGAGAATATTTCCACGTTACGAAATGAATTTATTCCAGCAGCAGATATTCAAACGTTGTATCTTTGCAACCTAAACGTTCTTTTATCGAGTTTCGACTGTATCTCGTTTTAATATGGTCTGGGTTAGGTTTGGGTTAAGTCTGGGTTAGGTCTGGGTTAGGTCTGGTTTAGGTCTGGTTTAGGTCTGGGTTAGGTCTGGGTTATAATCGATGAATGGATTTTCTATAAAAAAATTTGTTACACACGAGGAAAAGATAAAAAAGTATTTAGTTTAAGGTTAGTTTTAAAGTTTCGAGACTCGACTAAATACGAAACGATTATGTTAGGTTATGTTGTAACAGTTCATAGCTGACGCGAGATTAAAAGTTTCGCAATGTCTGCGATAAGATTTCGCGATTAATTGCAAGGATTCGTGCATGGACGACGATCTGCGGTCAAATTTAATTCGAAACGATGCAGCTGATATACATATCTGCTGGGTTTGGGTAGATATGCACGGCTCTCTACTTCATCCTTGTCTCGTTCGCTAATATGAGTTGATTTGCGAAGAGATGGACGTTAATCCCATTACATTAGCTCTCGCATGAAATCGAAACAAAGAAAATAGAAGAATCTGAGCGTTCGAGGTAAAAATGAAAAAAATTTCAATTTTAACAAGTTGGAACTGTGAAACATTGGCATATTTAATATTTCAAATTACGACAAATTAAACATCTTAATAATTTTACTTCTCGATCGTTTTCAAATCGTCTGTCAAAATTAAGAACATTTTGGCTCATTTATTGCAACAATATATTAAATCATTTTTGGAACCTCAACTCGTGTCCAAGTTTAATATTTGTTATTAAATTCAGCTTTGAATATTCGGAATATTTTTTTTTTTAAGCACTCTAATAGGGACCCTTCAACTTATTCAGAGAATAAACAAGAAATTATATAGAGCGTGAAATAATTGGTGGTACAATCCAGAGCAGTTCTTAACCTTTTTAAGTATTATGGCATAATTTAGAGGGAAAAGATCTGGCCCAGAAAATGTACTCAAAAAAAAAAAAAATTTAATCTCTTAAAATGTCCAGAACAGCTACAAACCTTTTCTATCGGAATATCGAAGTCGGATAAATCGTTGCCATTGAAAAAAGAAACAATTGCATAATTTGATTTTCAATTTTAATCTGAACATGGTTCGTGTCGTAAAATTATCATAAATATTGTTGGTTGTCGTTACCTAATAAAGTGGAGTTCTCGCTTAATTACCATACCGCGTTATTTGGAGTACAACCGAGACCATTAAAAAGTATTAAACCCGACACTAAGTCACACGGATTACC